TTTGGAATACAACAGACCCCAGACTGTTAGAGAACTCAAAGTTCGAGCGAGAAACAGTGGGCTGAGAGGTTATTCTCGAATGAGAAGAGCTGAATTGATCGCTTTACTAGATAATAATCAACCTATTGATAATGATGATGATGATAATGATGTTGAGAATCAACAACAAGAATTAATATTTGTACCCACATCCGCCGGCGTTGGTAAATATCTAAGAGGTTGGAAGATGGATATTAATTCCAACATGGATGTTAACGATATTAAGCCCATCATATCGAGTAAAATTAACGAGGAATTAGATGATTTACATAGTATAAAATACCAGCTGACGATTAAAATGACATTGAGTAAAAGTAACACAGACGATAGCACCGAATATACCGAACCATATTTCCGAAGCAATCAAGAAGTTATAACCGAATCCGATACTATAAACTCATCATTAGATACATCAATTCAGAGGATACAGGAAACTTTAGAACGCTGGACTAATAGAGGTTCGGGTTGGGGCGTGGATAAAATCGATAGTTTATATTTAGATATAGCAAATTATATGCCCTTCAAAGGTGGATCTTATATAGATTTACCTCCGTATTATAAGAAGAAAAAAGCCATAATTAACGTAAAAAATAAATCTGATGACTGTTTAAGAATGATGATAAGATCTGCATTGTTCCCCGTAGATTCTAAAATTGCAAATAGACCTTCTAGCTATCCCCAAAACGATGGACTCAACTTCGATGGTATAGACGAACCTACACCAATATCACAAATTGATAAGGTGGAAAAGCAAAATAATTTAGCTATAAATGTTTTCGGACATTCTAAAGGAATTGTTGTACACAGGATAAGCTCCGCTCCGGAAAATATCCCCAGAATCAATTCATTTCTGATCGAAAAAGATGGTAAATATCATTATACGTGGATAAAGAGTTTAAACAGGCTATTATACGATCAAACAAAACATGCTAGAAAGAAATATTTCTGTGAAAGATGCCTGCATGGGTACAGCAGACAAGATCTATTAGAAGCGCATAAAGAAGACTGTAGAGGTGTTGGACAGAATGCTATTAGGATCGATATGCCTAAAGAAGGAAAAAATATATTAAAATTTGAACATTATTGTAATCAAATGCCAGTACCGTACGTAATTTACGCCGACTTCGAAGCGCTTATCAAACCCATAGAAAATACCAACCATAATAATCAAGATAATAGTTTTACGTACAAAACTCAAGAACATATTCCTTGTGGGTTTGGATATATAGTTGTAAGGTATGATGGGAAAACAAACCCTCCCGTGATTTACAGAGGTCCCGATGCAGCGGGAAAGTTCCTAGAATATCTACAAAATGAAGAGAGAATAATCAGGGAAAAATTATCGTGTAAGATACCCATGCGTATGACGAGGGATGATTGGAGGGTCCATAAGAAGTCAACGAGTTGTCACGTTTGTAATAAACCCCTGGATGGGGATTCCGTAAGAGATCATTGTCACGTCACGGGTAATTATCGGGGAGCCGCTCATAACGAGTGTAACTTGAAACTAAAAATGAACTCTCAAACAATACCCATCCCCGTTGTGTTTCATAACCTTAGGGGATACGATTCACATCTCATTATGCAAGCTATCTCGAAGACCGACGGCGGTTTAACGTGCATTCCTAACAATATGGAAAAATACATATCGTTCTCGTTGACTAAACCTATACATTATAGGGACAAGGATGGGAAATCTAGAACAAAGCAAAGTAATGGGCTTAGATTCATAGACTCCGTACAGTTTCTGTTATCTTCCCTGGACAATTTAGCTAATGCGAACAATCCCGATGACTTCGCGATAACAAATAAATATACCGATAAGATAACTCGTCATTTGTTGCTGAGAAAAGGTGTATATCCTTACGAATATATGGATGATTGGTCTAGATTCGAAGAAACTGAATTACCAACCCTCGAATCATTCTATAGTAACTTAACAGAATCTAGAATAACAGATGCCGATTATGAACACGCTCTGACGGTCTGGGATAAATTAGGTTGTAAGAATTTAGGCGATTATCACGATCTGTACTTAAAAACCGATGTACTGTTACTCGCCGATATATTCGAGATATTTAGAAAGACGTGTTTCAAACAATATGGCTTGGACCCGGCATGGTACTATTCCAGTCCCGGACTATCGAAAGGATTAAGAGGTGGTATATCGATGGCAGCTAAAAGGTATTCTAAGGCTAATAATAAATTAGTGGAAGGATACGATCCCAGTAAACCCGACACCCACATATTATATCTCGACGCTAACAATTTGTACGGATGGGCTATGAGTCAACCTTTACCCACGGGTGGTTTTGAATGGGTCGATGATATTAATGTGAATAATATCGAAGTGAATAAAGGGTACATACTAGAAGTTGACTTGGAATATCCAAGTTCGTTACATAAAGATCATAATAGTTATCCGCTAGCTCCCGAAAGATTAATGGTTAATAAAGATTGGATGTCGGAATATCAACGCTCCTTGATGGGTAATAGTAGGTTAGCTAACGTAGAAAAACTCGTACCAAATTTGATGGATAAGACAAAATATATAGTTCACTACAGAAATCTCCAGTTGCATCTATCGTTGGGTATGAAACTTAAGAAAATACACAGAGTTCTAAAGTTTGATCAAAGCCCTTGGATGGAGCCCTATATAAGGTTGAACACAGATTTAAGAAAGATAGCTACCAGCGATTTCGAAAAGAATCTGTATAAGCTCATGAATAACTCCGTATTTGGTAAAACTATGGAGAATCTAAGGAAGCGTGTTGATGTTAAATTAGTCAGATCTAATGAGGAAGAAAGACTCAGGAAACTAATAGCCAGTCCGGCTTTTAACAGAAGCAAGATATTTGATAACGACTTAGCCGCGTTGCATATGCAGAAGAGTAATATAAAATTCAACAGACCGGTGTACGTCGGTATGAGTATTCTCGACTTGTCAAAACACTTAATGTATGACTTTTATTACAACGAACTTAAGAAGCAATACGGCGATAGATGCGAGGTGTTATATACCGACACAGATTCTTTGTTGATGGAAATACAAACCGAGGATGTGTATAAAGATATGGCAGAAAAAATAGATATGTACGACACGAGCGATTACCCTAAAGATAATCCACTGCACAGCGTAGTAAATAAAAAGGTGTTAGGTAAGATGAAGGATGAATGTGCTGGGACCCCTATAGCGGAGTATGTGGGATTAAGACCTAAGATGTATTCTATAAAGAAGTCCGATAATGGAGAGATAAGAAAAGCTAAGGGCGTTAAGAAGTACGTTGTAAAAAAGCATATCAAACACGAACAGTATAAAGAATCATTATTTAACGGTAGAACGTTCAAACACGAGATGAACTCTTTAAGAAGCTACAATCATAGGATGTATGGATTAAGAATGAACAAGACATCATTATCCCCCTTAGATACAAAGAGATGGATTGATAATGATGGTGTAAATACCTATGCTTATGGTTATGGTGGTAATACCGTACCGTCGGGAACTATGAACAACTCTTCTCGTACAAATGCCCTACCGGGTCCATCTTGAAGATAATAAAGAATGGGCTCTCCTTCTTTCGTAACCAATCTACTAATGTTATACGTCTTAAGGGACCATATGGGATCGGTTGCACGACGTAGGCCTCCTTCGAGTTCACCAGGCTGGTATAAATATCTTACGCTTACTCTATCCGGAAGTTTTCGTTCTTTGCCTCTCCTCGGTGCTGAAGATTCGGAAGTCAAGGATTTCATTTTAATAGCATGGGATGGTTTCTTCCCTATTAATCTCGTTACTTCATTATTCAGCGCTGATACAACGGCTGATAATCGTGTCACCCATTCGGTTGATCTCAATCGCTCGGATTTCATTTCGATCCCATACTGATAGCCAAACAAACGTTCCGCTAATGTCCTGTTAAATCTTTCGACGATAGCTTGACTGCGGTGGGCCTCTCTTTCACCACGGACGATTTTGACATCGTTCTTTGTTAACAGTTTAGTTACCGATCCCATAAACTCGCGACCGGGATCTACTTGAAATAGCTTAGGCCATTTTAGCGGTCCGCGTTTATATATGCGACTCAGTGCATTAGCTACCTCTGTTGATTCTTTCGAGGTTAATGGCTCAGCCTCTTTGTATCGACTAGCCACATCCACTACTGTTAAAGCGTATTTGTACGTTTTGCGTTTTACCTTATCGTGGGGAAGAAACAAGAGGTCAGCCTGATGAACTTCATTCGTCGTAAAAATATCAAACTTCTTCCTCGGGATATAACGCGGTGCCGGTAAATATATCTGCCACATCGCTTGTTTCTTTAACCAATCCTTGGCCACATCTTTAGATACCTTAGCCGCGGTGGCTAATTTTTTTATTGCTCCTACACCTTTCCAATATCCTCGTGGGCTATAGTAAATTTTATCCATTATTAATTAATATTGATATTTCTTTTAAAACGACTTTCGTTGAATCGCATCACTAATAGAAGCAATGATTGGCCCCAGGTATTGGTGAGCTAGAGCCAATCTTATGACTATCATTAAATCGCATCATCATTTTGGCATAAAAAATTCCTCCTGTAGTAGCAGTATAGGTATACAAATCCAGCTCCAGTGGAGTTGCGGCAGAACCATCATTACCTATACTACTACCTGCAACCTCACATATCGTGTGAAGTTTTGTAGTCCACTGTTTACCCACTCAGCTACAGAGGCGGGTGATGAGCAGTTGTTTAATTTATCATGTCATGACTCCAGCTAGTCCATGCTGCACGTGTTGTTTTTTCTCGCACGCTTTGAACGAATTCCGCGATACACTGTATTGTTTCAATTTAAGGTATATAAATGTTTTAACATTTTTTCTGGCATTTTTGGGGATTAGGACGGTTCATAAGTTGGACAAAACCTCGGAGGCGTGTGTTACCCTTTACTTCAACGACGAGAAATTCAAAAGTACTTACTCGTCTCTCAATAGATTGTAATGTTGCCTCAGAAAATTCCAGACGAATGGCTGCGTTTTGCCGTTGAGGTTTGGAGAGAAATTTAATACTCGAGTTGTGTCGGCCTTGGGGATCTCACCTGCCGTGATGGTTCTTTTAAGATACCTGTGAAACGTAGAAGTTTTAATTAATAACCGTCGGCTTGGAACGAGTACTGGTAAGAAAGATTTGGCTCGTTTAACACCTTTGTTGTTCTAAACTACCATAATCGATTCGTTTTAGAATACATTCCTCTTTATGATAGTCGATGGCCTCAAACAACTTTAGGCAAATTGTGTGAGTGACAGGTGTTACCGATTGGGCATGACCAGCTTTCCCTCTTCGCGAACACCTGGTGTCCTCACTGATTCCCAATGACCCATTCATAGAAGTTTCACCGTTATTTTTAATTTTAGGTCAAGTGAAATCTATTTCGTCGGATGTTCGACGCTGATTATACTCTGGTGTTGACGTTTAATAAAAATATTTTCCTCTGGTGATGTTGCTGGAATATTGCTATATAATACTCTTTTGCTCAATGTTTGTATTTTTAACATCGGTAAGATATCAGAGCAATGGTGCAAAATAAACAAACAAAAAAACCGTGAAAAATGTGTCGAGCCATCATCTGAGAGGTGATATCGTCTAACAACATTAACGATCTGCGGCGATACATAGAGTGATTGAGTGAGTATGGTTTTACGACGCTTTTAGCAATATTCCGCAATATCACGGCGGGGGACACCAGAAATGGGCTTCACACGTTGTACCCATGTCGGGAATCGAACCCGGGTCTTCGGCGTGACGAGCGAACGCTTTAACCACTAGGCTACCCGACCGCCCCGGCGATACATAGAAATAATTATTATTTGATACAGAAACACGTGAGTGTGGGTAGTAACCTCCTTTTCATAGAATCCCTTGCTTACAATCACAGTTTCAGTTGGAAATGTCTCGCAGTGAAATCCGCGTATGAATATTTATCATTTATCATATAGAGTAAACTACGTTTATAACGAACACGCTTATAACGAACTGACGGATATTACAGCAGTTTCTAGTTCCGTCCATTTGCTGTATATGGGCAGTATATATGAGTTTGACGCACATATAACCGTAGTTTGCTGTAGTGCTAAATGGGTTGCAGCCATGGTTGTTCACACATCGCCCACACACCTGATCACAAGGGCTGTCCACCCTTTGTGGGAACGCCCGCGAATAGTTTATTGTTAAAGCAGACATTGAGTCTATGAATAAAGCATAAACGTACAGTTGATTAAGGTTATAACAAACTCAAAGAGACCACTAATGTAGGTTCGTTATAACCGTAGTTCATTAAAAGCATATATACAGGATATAAACAGCAAATGCCCTGGACCAAAATAAAACCAGTACGGTATATCCGTCAGTTCGTTATAAACGTAGTTTACTGTAGTTCCTACTTGGTGATGGCCTCAGTTGCATACTTATCGAACTGGTCTTTTGAATCGACAACACAAGCCGTTATATAATGAAGATTAAACTTTGTATTAGACTGACAAGTACGGACTCCGATAGCGCTGCGTGCGGTCTGGATGAAACCAAGATAACAAGAATGTGCCCAGTTTCCAGTACTCACGTGTCAATGACCCAGGGTTCCTTAGAACAAGCCAACGCCATCAACATGTCGTCTTTGACTGACAGCGACGTCTCTGCCTGGTATCTGTCGTAGAGGACGTTCCAGTCATCAGCATTACCGTCAGAGACGCCAGTGCAGAGGATTGTCTTCAAGAGGTCGGGGTTGATTCTGGAATTAGAATACATTGTGTCACGACAGTACTTTCAACGTACCACGTGAGGGATACATTGATAAAAACAGATCTGACCGGTTTCGCAGGAGCTGTATTTATGCAACTCTTTAGTCAAACGCTTGGGAATAGGTTTATCTTTCCTTCCACCAAACCATCCGCCAATCCATCCATCCATCTATACTCTTCAAAAAAAGGAAAAGAAACGCAAAACGGGTATGTTTGGCCATAAGAGCAAAATTAGCGGACCAAGAGGTGCAAAATGAATTTTTATTGACTGGCATTTGGGTCAATCGAACAATGACAGTTTAACAACATGCCAAGATTAACAGAAGTGCAAAGCGCCAACGTCATAGGCCGCTTGCAGGGGAATCCCGATCAGCTGTAGCCAGGTTTTCAATGCAGCACCCAGCACCATCGGCTATGGGATCGATTACAACAGCATGGGTCAACACGTGATCGGCCAAAGTCGGGACGACTTAGAGTAACCACTCCCGCCCAAGTTCGCTACATCCGAATGCGCCACCTATGTGAAAGGATGACCACAGCCACCTAAACCGCATCCCAAATACCCGCGCAGAATCTCCCACCAGACCGTACGAAACCGTTTAAGAGCAGCAGGTCTACGAGCAAGACGTCCTGTTCGACGCGTCATATTGAGTCGACAACATCGTCGACAACGACTGCATTGGTGTCGTCAACACAGGGTGTGACCTCAACTGCGATGGAGAGATTTCTGGTTCAGCGACGAATGGAGATTTCTCTTCTCCGAAGGGATGGACGTGCACGGTTTTACAGACTTCGAGAAGAACTGCGTACAGGAAGTAGACAGAATTGGTGTGGGTAGCGTTATGATGTGGGCGGCTATCTCTCATCATGATAGGACAGGTTTGGTCCATACCCAGGGCAATCTTACGGCTCCACGATACATCAACGAAATTCTCCTTCCATACGTCCTCGCAATTGCAGCTACCGGCAACGGTGTATTTCAGCAGGACAAGGCTCGCCCGCATGCAGCACGGATCACAAGAGCCTGTCTACACAACAACAACGTTGATGTTCTCCCCTGGCTCTAAAGATCCCTTAACCTGATAGAGCACCTGTGGGATGAATTGGATAGACGGCTACGCCGTCGTAAACCACAACCCCAGACGTTTCAGCAGTTGGCTTGTACGTTGCAGGCCGAGTGGGCTACCATTCCCCAGGATGTGATTCGCATACTCGTCTCTTCCATGGGCAATCGATTCCAACGAGGGACATACGCGTTATTGATGATAGCTGACCTTCACCTTGGACGTTTCCTATGTACCGATAACTGAGATGACAACAATCACCAATTGTTCTCTATACAACATTTTGGCACAATACCTTGTATGGTTCCTCGTATACATGCATTTCCAACCTCACAAACATCTGGATTTGCGTTTTCTTTTTATGTGTGTGAAGAGTATATATGGTAATATCTATGCATCATCTATCTATCTATCTGTCTGTCTGTCTGTCTGTCTGTCTATCTATCTATCTATCATCCATCTATATATCTATACATCCATTAAACCGCCCTCCCGCCCATCCATCCACCCATCCATCCATCTATATATCTATGCATCCATCATCCATCCATCCACCCACCCATCCATCTATACATCGCTGCATCCATCATCCATCCACCCACCCATCCATCTATACATCTCTGCATCCATCATCCATCCACCCACCCATCCATCTATACATCGCTGCATCCATCCTCCATCCACCCATCCATCCATCTATACATCTCTGCATCCATCATCAATCCACCCACCCATCCATCTATACATCTCTGCATCCATCATCCATCCACCCATCCATCCATCTATACATCTCTGCATCCATCATCCATCCACCCACCCATCCATCTATACATCGCTGCATCCATCATCCATCCACCCACCCATCCATCTATACATCTCTGCATCCATCATCCATCATCCATCTATACATCTCTGCATCCATCATCCATCCACCCACCCATCCATCTATACATCACTGCATCCATCATCAATCATCCATCCAGCCTGCAGCTTGCAAGTAACAGAAGGAGTGCAGGTAATGGCAATTCCGATCACGATCATGTACATCAACAATCACGGCAGCAGGAACAGAGAACGTACCGATTTGCGTGTGGATTTTCCTTCCATGCCTGAAATATTTCCGTGGCACGTTGTCGGCACGCTGGGTTCGAGGACGAGCATGCTGCGTTGACAATCACCCTCTGAGCAATCCTGGCATAACACAAAAAACTTACTTTCATTAACCACAAAACCTCCAAAGCAATACACAGTGAAACCTTAAGAGCACGGACTTGTCCGGGACCTCGCTCGACGATGCCAAACAATCGTATGTAGAATAGATGAGATGGTACTACGTGTGTGTGCCTGTGATTCGTTTCTCAGTTAGTCTCACACAGTGTACGACTGCATGTGATGGTTGTCATATGAATAAATGCTTTGATAATAATAATAAATAAAACCGACAAAACCATTTCGTTAAGTATTTTATGTTATCTCTGCTCACACACAGTCCATTGTACGATTCATGCTATATCTGAGCGTGTGTTAATGAATTCCTATCGCATAGTGATGATTCATGTATGAGGACAGTTTACATACGATTGTATGTGGTTGGCGCCGGAGTCCTCAAACCCATAGTGCTGGAAGGCCGCCGTGCTGCTTGCTCTCAGGAACCCCTGTCACGGCAAGCAACGTCAGCAACAACTGTGTCATGAGCCAGTATCCTTACCTATGTCTTCTGAGTAACGTTTGGTCCTTCCACGTGTTGGGTGAGTTGCTGTTCGTGCATCGTTTAGTACACGTGTAGTGTTCTGTACACGTGTGTTGTTCTGTACACGTGTGTTGTTCTGTACACGTGTGTTGTTCTGTACATGTGTGTTTTTCTGTACATGTGTGTTGTTCTGTACACGTGTGTTGTTCTGTAGACGTATGTTGTTCTGTACATGCGTGGTGATCTGTACACGTGTAGTGTTCTGTAGACGTATGTTGTTCTGTACACGTGTGATGCTGTGTACACGTGTGTTGTTCTGTACACGTGTGTTGTTCTGTAGACGTATGTTGTTCTGTACACGTGTGTTGTTCTGTACACGTGTGTTGTTCTGTACACGTGTGTTGTTCTGTACACGTATGTTGTTCTGTACACGTGTAGTGTTCTGTAGAAGTGTGTTGTTCTGTAGAAGTGTGTTGTTCTGTAGAAGTGTGTTGTTCTGTACACGTGTGTTGTTCTGTAGACGTATGTTGTTCTGTACACGTATGTTGTTCTGTACACGTGTGTTGTTCTGTAGACGTATGTTGTTCTGTACACGTGTGGTGTTCTGTAGACGTATGTTGTTCTGTACATGTGTGGTGATCTGTACACGTGTAGTGTTCTGTAGAAGTGTGTTGTTCTGTAGAAGTGTGTTGTTCTGTAGACGTATGTTGTTCTGTACATGTGTGGTGATCTGTACACGTGTAGTGTTCTGTAGAAGTGTGTTGTTCTGTAGAAGTGTGTTGTTCTGTAGACGTATGTTGTTCTGTAGACTTGTTGTTCTGTACATGTGTATTGTTTTGTAGAAGTGTGTTGTTCTGTAGACGTATGTTGTTCTGTGTACGTGTTGTTCTGTACATGTGTGTTGTTTTGTAGATGTGTCTTGTTTTGTAAACGTGTGATGCTCTGTACACGTGTGTTGTTCTGTACACGTGTGTTGTTCTGTAGACTTCTTGTTCTGTACGTGCATGTGTGATGCAATGTATACTTGTGTTGTTCTGTAGACGTGTGTTGTTCTGTAGACGTGTGTTGTTCTGTAGACGTGTTGGTCTGTACATGTGTGTTGTTCTGCAGACGTGTGTTGTTCTGTACACTTGTGTTGTTCAGTATACTTCAACATCACACCATGCACACAATGACCAAATACTGAATAATGGCGCTGTCTATTTCCCTGGACGACTTCTCTTTTCTCAAAGACACTTAGAATAGCTAACCATACATAACTTCACAGATAACATGACACATTTTTTTGCTCGCACGCCGAAGACCCGGGTTCGATTCCCGACATGGGTACATGGTGTGAAGCCCATTTCTGGTGTCCCCCGCCGTGATGTTGCTGGAATATTGCTAAAAGCGGAGTAAAAACACACTCAGTCACCCCTTGCGTGATGTTTGCCCTAGTAGTTATCATGTTTATGCAAAACTTCACAAATATTACTCATGAATGATAAATATCGAAATTAACCCACAAATAGGTACGCGGGTAGGCGTATCGTGTATCGTATCGTAAAATCGAAATGCATGGACCGATCGGTGACAATACTGTTGTACACGCACCTGGAACGCGCCATAAACCTCCGTGTCCCTCAACATGGCGTCCATATAGTCCAGCTTGGCCAGGGCGACAGCCCAGGGGTAGTAGCTCACCTCCGCCGAGAGGTACTCCAGTGTCCCTAGGGCCACGCGCTGGTCCAGCAGCCCGGATCTGTGTGGGGCACAGGGATAGTTAGGGTTAACGCCCTTGTACAATCTTTCAACTTGATGGGGGTGGGGAAACCCAGAAAGAATGCAACTATTTTTTTATTCGTTTTCACAGGTCACGCGTCACAGTGAGGTTGCTTGTAGAAGGCTTTATAAACATAAGTTGTCATATTTGACATTTCGTCACAGATTATAATTGGCAGGACCTTAAAAGGACATCTTTGTTGGCATTACGTAGTCGAAAGGTGCTGGCAGGGATCAAATAAACATCGTTTGTTAATATAGGCCATTTCTTTATAAAAAAAGGGCGGTCGGGTAGCCTTGTGGTTAAAGCGTTCGCTCGTCACGCCGAAGACGTGGGTTGGATTCCCGACATGGGTACAATGTGTGAAGCCCATTTCTGGTGTCCCCCGCCGTGATATTGCTGGATTATTGCTAAAAGCGGCGTAAAACCAAACTTTTTACACACTCACTCACTCTTTATAAAAAATAAATTGAATAAATCACTTCACGTGAACATTGTTGCTTTAAAACGAAACTATGTAGTTGATCCATTGGGCATAAACCTGATTTATGGAAAATGCTACACGTCACTTTCGAGCATTGGTAGGACAGTACGTCAAAATCATTTACTCATATAGGTAATCAATGTTGATCGCTGCTGGATATATTTTTGTTGATTTTTGGTAATGACATGACCCGTGAAGATCCATGGTAGAATAGGTCTTCAGCAACCCCCGCGTGCCGTAAAAGGCGACTAGGCTTGTCGTAAGAGGCGACTAACGGGAACGGGTGGTCAGGCTCGCTGACTTTGTTGATGCATGTCATCAATCCCAATTGCGCGGATCGATGCTCATGACGTCAATCACTGGATTGTGTGGTCCAGACTCGATTATTTACAGACCTCTGTCATATAGCTGGAAAATTGCTGAGTGTAGCGTTAAACAACAAACAAACGAACGAACGGTAATGATATACAATAATGATTGGTATATCTAAATATAAAAAACAATGCTTTCACGTTTTAGACGCCAGTGATACCCCGCTCGTGTTCATGACAGTTCAGGGAAAGCCATTCTTACCTTGCCAGGTCGATTGCGTCGTTAATTATCTGAGCTCGGTTGATTGGAATGATGGCCTGTGGAGACATTGGAAGGCTGCTAATGATATTCGGGTGACGGCTACCTCGGCAAATCAATCTCTTTAATCAAATATTTCGTCTTAATAAATGGTATTGCATACCGACCAACCCTTCATGATGATAACTCAAAGCAAGACAGAACAGCAGTCTCTTAATGAACTCTTCCAGTGACGCGCTACAAGACATGAATCTGTCTTACGTCCAAGTGTATATATTTCGAATACACAGAGGTTATAACGCTTGTGTGTTGTGGGAAGTATACTGTATTAGGAACAAACATTATAAATACATAACGTTTATTCCTAAAACGCGATATTTATTCATCCTAAAACACGTAAGTTGTCATAGACTCTTTATCATACAACGTCACCCTTACATTCTGTTGTCATTAACCTTTTTCATCACTTACAATCAGCACCTAAACATAACAATTGTCCTGGAATGTGAGCATATTAATATGTCAACCCACATGGTCAGTGATGAGGCAGTGGACATTTTCTATTTGGTCAGTGATGGCCTTTCGCGATAGTCCATCGGTACACCGATTGTGTCATTGTCCTTTATCAAGGGACACTTATACAGTGTATTAGACGTCACGCTTGTTTAGAGTCTGACTGGCCTGTCATAACGTTAGACATAGACGTCACGCTTGTTTAGAGTCTGACTGGCCTGTCATAACGTTTGACATAGACGTCACGCTTGTTTAGAGTCTGACTGGCCTGTCATAACGTTAGGAATACAGTCAGATGTCTCCAAAAGAACACGAAGAAGGGAAACATTTAATTAAATTCCCAAGCAGCAGATGTATGGAAACTGATCCTCGCTACACAGTTTTGCAATTTCGCAGTTTACATCTTTAAAGACGTTGGATACCATTGTTCATGCGCATACCGGACGCGCATGTAACGGCGAGTATTTGTAATGCGGTTACGTCCCTTTGACTCGCGGCTAATTGTACTTCCGCCAAAGAAATGTAAATGTGGGCAAGAGTTACCTCCCCTGATTCATTATTTTAGGGGTGTGCTGTGTTGATTGAAAATAATTTGAATATCCTCTTGTAACATGTTGGTTTTATTTTATAATTTTATTTTACAATGAATAAACATTAGAAATAAGCCAGTTTGAAAAATATCTTGATTTTGTAAAATGCTTTTTTGACTGATGAATCAATTTTTTTTGGAAAATGTGCTTTTTTTTAAGTCAAATGATGTGTAAAATTAAAAATGTTTTGATTTGAATTTTCATTTTTCTGTTTTGTGTCATATCGTTATGTAATATGTCTATTTGAAAACACTCATTTAATAATCAAACTTTAAAATGATCATTTTATTGGCAAAATGATTTTATCATCCGGTGCCTCTAGATGGCGCCACTTATTCAAAACATGCCCTGGTGACTTGGTCTTTTTATTGCGTAATTTGATTCAGGACATATTTTCCTACAAAATGATACCAAATATACCCATTTCTTGAATTTTTTGTTTTTTGTATGCAACCTCTTTAAGGATGCCAAAGTTTGTAAAATACCTCATCTGCGTCCCTTCCCGAAACTGATTCATGATATCGTAATCATAACAATTATCCGAGAAATTATCCAGATCCCCGATTGCTAACTCTGACCCGATCGCCGATAGACAAGGGCGACGCCATGTTTGTTTGTGTACACAACCTTTCCTACTGGGATCTGTATGCGTACGTGACCCCAACGGTTACCTTTTTATACGTTGGATTTATCTTGTCATTAAGACTTAACATTGTTGCGATAAAACCAAAGATCTCACGGTATGGTCCCGCTTGAGTTGTTTGATAATATTGTTCCAGTTGTCCACGTCGTAGTTGACGCGGTAGAAGCCGTGATGTTGCACATTACCCAGAATCCAACTCGAGCCATCACTTGTATCCGGTATGTTTACATTGGTAGGATACACGTCTGAAAAAAACAAAAGTGATTTTACTAAACATTTCACAGATGAATATTGACCAAAATAAATAGCAACATCCGACAAGAAACAGGGTTATGCGTCTAAGCATAAAGCGTGTGAGTATTGTTTTACGCAGCTTTTAGCAATATTCCAGCAATATCACGGCGGGGGACACCAGAAATGGGCTTCACACATTGTACCCATGTCGGGAATCGAACCCGGGTCTTCGGCGTGACGAGCGAACCCGACCGCCCCTCTAAGCTTTAAGATGAAACCCGTCACATGTATCATTCAGAAGTAAGTGATGCAGATAATCGTCACATCCACCAAGAATGAAACCGTTTCCGTGACTGCATCCGGATGCCCCATCGGGATTCCAGGATAGAATAGGTCCCCGGCCACTTGATGTCTCTCCATGGGGATTCCAGGTTAGAATAGGTCCCCGGCCACTTGATGTCTCTCCATTGGGATTCCAGGTTAGAATAGGTCCCCGGCCACTTGATGTCTCTCCATGGGGATTCCATGATAGAATAGGTCCCCGGCCACTTGATGTCTCTCCATGGGGATTCCATGATAGAATAGGTCCCCGGCCACTTGATGTCTCCCCATGGGGATTCCAGGTTAGAATAGGTCCCCGGCCACTTGATGTCTCTCCATGGGGATTCCAGGTTAGAATAGGTCCCCGGCCACTTGATGTCTCCCCATGGAGATTCCAGGTTAGAATAGGTCCCCGGCCACTTGATGTCTCTCCATGGGGATTCCAGGTTAGAATAGGTCCCCAGCCACTTGATGTCTCTCCATGGGGATTCCAGGATAGAATAGGTCCCCGGCCACTTGATGTCTCTCCATGAGGATTCCAGGATAGAATAGGTTCCCAGCCACTTGATGTCTCTCCATGGGGATTCCAGGTTAGAATAGGTCCCCGGCCACTTGATGTCTCTCCATGGGGATTCCAGGATAGAATAGGTCCCCGGCCACTTGATGTCTCCCCATGGGGATTCCATGATAGAATAGGTCCCCGGCCACTTGATGTCTCTCCATGGGGATTTCAGGTTAGAATAGGTCCCCGGCCACTTGATGTCTCTCCATGGGGATTCCAGGATAGAATAGGTCCCCGGCCACTTGATGTCTCCCCATGGGGATTCCAGGTTAGAATAGGTCCCCGGCCACTTGATGTCTCTCCGTGGGGATTCCAGGTTAGAATAGCTCCCCAGTAACCCAGGGTACAGGAAAGAGGCGCCATCATGGATCAGGGGGCAAGATCCTTACAGGTCATCGCACGCAGACAGAACAGATCAGAGCTGCACGTTATTTCTTTCCGGCCGAGTACATCGGTATATGAGGTACACACATATTTTACATTGCGGTGTACAGAGGTTAACTGGAAGCTTTTATAATTTTCATGATAATTTTAACACATTTACATAGTTTCTTTTGGCCAGAGATCTTATGACAGTTAAATAATTCCTGGAGTTGTAACATATTTGGTCTCTTTGAATAGTGTTTTGAGGTTTTCATGTCGCTTTGTTCGTTGAAATATTTACATATATTTAGATATCGAAGAATTCATCTGGAATGTCAAAACTATCACACAACTTGCATAAACGTCCATACAACGGAGTTTTATCCCATCTTCCGGTTTCTACTGGCGGCCGGTGACAAGATGTCCTAAAGAATAGCAATTTAAAGGAAAAGTGGGGAGGAATGTGTATTAAATATGTTTCAAGTTCATTAGGGATTTTAAAATTACGTTATGTTCCATGAGGAGCATTTACTAGAGGTATGGTATTGCTCATAATATCAACCACTGGTTTATCTGGCCGATGGCCGATAAGTCCCATGCCGCCGTTGTTTAGATGGAATAGTTCTGCGTGCGGCGAACACAAAACAAACATAGAAAAACGGATTGTGTCAGCGCCAACCTGATTCAGCATTTCGCATCACCCAGACAATGTCCGCATCAGTCACATTGAAGTTCTTCTGGGAGCTGGTTGTAAACGTGAAGGGGACGTTCCACTTGTATCTGAAACACATTGCACACCAACCCTGTAAAGTAGCAACGTAGGGTATACACATTTCTGGTGTCATATTGCCGGAATATTGGTAATAGCAGCGAATAAACATACTAATTCACTCGATGAACACATTTACGCATGAACATACAGGAAGACGGACGTGCCCAGAGGAGTAAAACAACGTCTCACTCACTCACTGACTCACTCACTCGATGAGACACACATTTAATGATGAACGTACTGGAAGGGGGACGGGTAGGTACCAGGATCCGCTGCTGATGGGTCCAGCAGGAACCGACCCTGCTTCAGCTGCAGCTGGCTGCTCCCCGCCCTGGACACGCTGACCACGGGGTAGTTCATCTGCAGCGTCCACGTCTTCATCGTGTCGGCGACAGGGACGTCTTTTTTTTCCTCTTTAGCTTGCTGATAAAACACCGTCAACTTTATTCTCACCATCTTTTGTTTACAGACAATTGCTCCACGATTTGATTAAAATTATGGTACAGTAAACTACGGTTATAACGAACACGCTTATAACGAACTAACGGATATAACGAACTAACTGTTTAGTCCCGACTATATGCTGTAGTTATGCTGTATATATGCTTATAACGAATTACGTTTATAACGAATTAAAATTAGTAGTCCCTTTGAGTTCGTTATAACCGTAGTTTACTGTAACTACTAAAATACTGTGAGATGCTTTCATCTCGCTACCACGCGGAGGTCCGACTCGATGACGTGTTTGATTTCTGTCACCTCAGAAATATTTAGAAGCCGCGTGGTTCTGTTTTCGAAGCTAAAATATAAATCTTTATCACCCATACAAAATGTGAAATAATTCGAAATTTGGAAAACAGAAGCACTCTATCAAAAATTAATATTTTGTGATCAAAATTTCAAGAGAAAAGCTATGACCTCAGTCATGCATTGGAAATGATTGTAGACGTACAGGCCATTCATTCGTGTACAATCCCCTTGTTAAATCTTAAATACATAGATACTTTTGTACTTTGTGTTTAGAGACAAAAAATATGTTTATGATAATGAATTTGTCATGGCATTGATGAGAAAGAAGTATTTTTTGTTATAAATTCAAGAAGGATTTTGCTGATATTGATTAATTGTGTCCTTTAAGATAAGTGAGTATGTGAGAGAATAAGTCGGGTATAACGTCGCTTTGAACAGTATTCCAGTTATATAATGGCGTATCAGCCTGACGTGGGAGCAAAAGCCGACGTAATATTTCCCACTTTGCTGACACCCACAAGCACGAATATGGTGCTGACGACTCTCGAACATAACCGAGGCGATCTGGCATTGGAAACTATGATAGGTTTCTGGTGTGCATCTCTACACAGCACATGGCGGCGCCCTAGACGACAGTGCCACACATGTCTCCTTTAGATAAATGATCTCACCGCTTCAAGGGCCGCCCACAGGTCGTCGTGGTCAGCGTTGCTATAGGCCCGGGATCGCAGGTATCTCTGTAGAACATGCAGTAATATTAACATTCATATCACTGTCTTCAAGGTATCTCTGTAGAACATGCAGTCACATTAACATTCATATCACTGTCTTCAAGGTATCTCTGTAGAACATGCAGTCACATTAACATTCACATCACTGTCTTCAAGGTATCTCTGTAGAACATGCAGTCACATTAACATTCACATCACTGTCTTCAAGGTATCTCTGTAGAACATGCAGTCACATTAACATTCACATCATCGTCTTCAATGTATCTCTGTAGAACATGCAGTCACATTAACATTCACATCACTGTCTTCAAGGTATCTCTGTAGAACATGCAGTCACATTAACATTCACATCACTGTCTTCAAGGTATCTCTGTAGAACAAGCAGTCACATTAACATTCACATCACTGTCTTCAAGGAATCTCTGTAGAACATGCAGTCACATTAACATTCACATCACTGTCTTCAAGGTATCTCTGTAGAACATGCAGTCACATTAACATTCACATCACTGTCTTCAATGTATCCGTGTAGAACATGCAGTCACATTAACATTCACATCACTGTCTTCACGGTATTCATCGAACATAAATTCAAAGCGCTGCTTGAACTCAAAACGGGCTATTTTTGATACACAGTTTCTTCAACACATAAATCATAATATAAATTGGTATAACACTGGTGTTTTGTACCCACAAAAAATACATATTTGGTCACATGTTAGTTAAGATCTCTCAGCCTGTGGGTATCGCTCGATGACTTCCTCTTAAGGGGGATTATGGTTCACCTGGTACCCACTAGTACTCCCTCACACAACCCTGATCTTAGCGGACCTGCATTCTTGACGCGATGATGTGAGGATAGCCAAATAGTGTTTAAGATATGATCACCAACTTTCAAGTGGCAGCAGCGCCAGCCCAAACACATTACTCAATATAAAAAAAAGAATTTGATTTGTTATGTTTATCAAACGATTTTCGTAGGATATTCAAGGATATAGAGCTGTTTTGGAGCTTGATACTGATTCGTTGTACTGGTTCCTTGGAGCTGAGTGGGGAGTAATCCCTGAGCTGAAAGCCTATTCTTGCGTCATCGAGTATTGTCACACATACGGTGAGTCCTCGCTGGAAGGTTCCATCACCCAGGAAAAACTTCAACATCCGCAGCACAGATCCTCCCTGAATCACACAAACATAACATGGGAATATGTCTCTCATCAACAATGCTTCAATCAGAATTTAGAATATTTTATAATGTCGCGCCAAGCTGAAGTCTTTGAAAGCCTAATGGTGCCACTTCGGTAGCATATACATTTATATTTATTTCCAGATCGAAATTTCTCGTTATCTGAGTTATTTATTGTTTTCTCGAAATTTCGAGTTTTCTGTTGTTATTTTGATCATATTTTCGTTATTTCAATTTTTTTCGTTACCTTGATTGTTTGCTGATAATTTCGATTATTTTCTCGTTGTTTCACATTTATTACAAAAACTTAAACTTACGATTTTTCTCTCTCGTTATTTCAATTATTTTCTCGAAATTACGTTGTTTTTTCTCGTTGCTTGAATAATTTTTTCGTTGTTTCAAGGTTATTTAAGTAACTCGAAATTTCTTTTTTCCACGTTATTTCAATTATTTGTCTCGAGAACATAATCGAAGTAACGAGAAAAAAATCGTAATTTCGAGAAAATATTTGAAATACACTTGAAATGACGAGAAAATAATCAAAATAAAGAGAAAATAATCGAAGTAACGAGGAATTTCAATTAAAAAAAAAGAAGGGTGCTAAAATGACACCTTTCAGCTGACGTAGAAGTCAGCTCTGGAAGCCACGACTCATACAGTGGTGTTTATCATCCGCCAAATAAAATGTAGTGAGAGGTGAGGTGAAACGGGTTTAACGTCGCGTCCAAAACTATTGCACTTATATAGCGACGTGCATGCACGTGTGTGTTAGGCTGCCTGTACTAGTCTGGATTAATGCCGATTTTATAGTGCCAGCCCACTAAGACTACATGCCGCAGTTTAACATGCAAAACCCACTCAGACACAGATTACTGACTCCGAGCCGACCAGTCCTTGTCTAAGCACCTTAAAAAAATGCAGCACAGACTGGGTAACAACAAGTACCATATTTTAACGTCTTCTGGTATGACACGGCCGGGGATCGAACACCAGACCTCCTGCTCTCCGGGCGGACGTTAGACCAGGAGGAGGTCCAATGTAGGGAGAACACGAAATTATCCTCACACAACAGTCAGTGACGTCATATGACAATCTATGGGATAAGGGTCTGATAACGCGTTGTCAGCACTATAACAGCTATAGTCTGTCAAGAATCCAGCGTGGCCCAGTGTTTGATGTCAAGTTAAGACCGATAGTAGGGCGAACTATAAGTTTGTCTATTTGTTTGTTGTTGTTTGTACACCGTGGTTAACGCTATTTCATCTGCAGCCTTGCGGCCTGTAACTGTCTGGGATTGAACAACGATCGCACAGAGTATATTCCCAGCGCCCTGTAACTGTCTGGGATTGAACAACGATCGCACAGAGTATATTTCTCTGCGGCCTGTAACTGTCTGGGATTGAACAACGATCGCACAGAGTATATTTCTCTGCGGCCTGTAACTGTCTGGGATTGAACAACGATCGCACATAATATATTTCTCTGCGGCCTGTAACTGTCTGGGATTGAACAACGATCGCACATAGTATATTTCTCTGCGGCCTGTAACTGTCTGGGATTGAACAACGATCGCACAAAATATATTTCTCTGCGGCCTGTAACTGTCTGGGATTGAACAACGATCGCACATAGTATATTTCTCTGCGGCCTGTAACTGTCTGGGATTGAACAACGATCGCACATAATATATTCCCAGCGCCCTGTAATTGTCTGGGATTGAACAACGATCGCACATAATATATTTCTCTGCGGCCTGTAACTGTCTGGGATTGAACAACGATCGCACATAGTATATTTCTCTGCGGCCTGTAACTGTCTGGGATTGAACAACGATCGCACAAAATATATTTCTCTGCGGCCTGTAATTGTCTGGGGTTGGACAAGGATCGAACATTTTATATACCAAGAGTTTAACTAAAACTGTATTTCGAAACGCAGCAAATGAAACCCGCTTACCTTGTTGTAGGAAATATCATCGAAAATCTGTTCAACCTCATCGGGTTTCTTCACATCAACGTAAACCGGATGTGACGTCACTATTCCATCAGTTTCAAACACGGGGATGATTTCTTCAGCAACAAACTGGTTATACTGAAACAACGTAGGATTAACAATGCGTAAATCCGAAAATTATATTATTTAATTTTTAAAGTAAAAAAACACCATACATTTTATACTGATGACAAACATAATGACACCACAAGTTACTTAAGTAGTTGTGCGTCTCTGTATGTCAAGTGATGACATCAGGAATATAGATAGTCTGTAATATCGGACATCTGATGTCGAAGGAATAAAAAAGATCATATATGTTATGATGGAATGCAGGCAGCTTGTCAAATGCTGAATTCAAAGGCAGTCAACGAACAGTCATTCCAAGAGCTGTTAATCCTAAATCCAGACTTACATTTTCGCCAAATGTTTGGCAAACGGGATTGTCTACATAAAATATCAACAAGTAGCTGTTTCCTTAGTGTCCCGTGTTCCATCGTGACGTATTTAGATCACGTGTTATGTAGGTCTCCCAAACTTTGGGTGCCGCTCATGGCTTCCTTTAACGTTGTCTCCATTATTACTTCAGTTGTTATTATTGACTGATGGTTTAAGACAAGGTGTAACATTACGTATATCATATCGTGAATGCAGACAAGCGTAAACTGCCATCATCGATTCAAATATGCCTCAATTGGCCCTATTGCTTAGAGAAATAATACAGACAAGTGACCCTGTCTCACCATATCCCAGTCGGGCTCGATGTGGTCTGCGCCAAAATATTCAAAAAATGTTGCAAAGCCTTCATTGAGCCACAGGTCGTCCCACCACTTCATGGTAACCAGGTCCCCGAACCACTGCAACAGGAAGGTTCCGATTGACATCCTCCATTATCCAGTGTATTAACGTCCCATTCTATAGGGATGAACACCCTTGACCCAATATTCATCACAGGAAATGACGTCACCAACTCCTCATTCTAAGGGGATGAATACCCTGGACCCATCAGTCTTCACAGGAACTGACGTCACCAACTCCCCATGCTAATGGGATGAATACCCTGGACCCAATATTCATCACAGGAAATGACGTCACCAACTCCTCATTCTAATGGGATGAATACCCTGGACCCAATATTCATCACAGGAAATGACGTCACCCACTCCTCATTCTAATGGGATGAATACCCTGAACCAATAGTCATCACAGGAAATGACGTCACCCACTCCTCATTCTAATGGGATGAATACACTGGACCCAATAGTCACCACCGGAAGTGACGTCACCAACACCTTTGTATTACCAACTTGGCACAGAATCTCTCTTGCTCATAAGCATGCAATTAACAACCATCCAAAATGGCTAGACTGAACGGGAGTTCGGGATAGAATAGGTCTTCAGCCACCAATGCTTGCCGTAAAGGCGACTATGCTTATCGTAAGAGACGACTAACAGGATCTGGTGATCCGGCCCGAGGACTTGGACATCGTATCCAAATTGCGTGGATAGATGCTAAATCACTGGATTGTCTGGTCCAAACTCTATTATTTAAAGACCGCCGTCATATTGCTGGAATATTGCTGAGTTCGGTGTTAAACAAACAAACAAAAACAAACAAACAAACTTGATGAGCCAGTTCGTGTGTGATGTCGACGAGCACGGATTGTTTCGCAGAGGAGCTTGTGACGCCGTCAGTGTAGAACAGGCGGATGGCCCTGTATGTGATACAGCCCCAGTTCTCCATGGCACCGGGACCGAAATCAGGAATCGCAACCATGTCTGCAAAACATGTCAGATTGGTCAGGTGTGAGGTTTCTTTTGGGGGATGTCACGCCCAACAGTATTTCTGTTATATCAAAGCGTGTCAACCTGTGGGAGGAAAGTTGTCATTGTCGTTTACTCTTCACTTTTGGTGAAACCCATGAACACAGAAAGTTGCTGACAAACCATCAAACAGAATCAGGACGAGTCTGTGATCTCTCCCACTCACTCACTCACCCACTCATCCACCCACACACCCAGTCACTCACTCATTCACTCACTCACTCACTCACTCATTCACTCATTCATCCAGATACAGTGTAATCTTGTGTTGCGCAGGGTTACCCAGCTCTAGGAGTTGGGAGGATATATTGAAGTGGTATATCATGTAGGGCCACCTTGCTCTAGGAGTGTGAAGGATATATTCGAGTGGTATGTCATGTAGGGCCACCTTGCTCTAGGAGTGGGGAGGATACCTTGAAGTGGTATGTCATGTAGGGCCACCTTGCTCTAGGAGTGTGAAGGATATATTCGAGTGGTATGTCATGTAGGGCCACCTTGCTCTAGGAGTGTGAAGGATATATTCGAGTTGTATGTCATGTAGGGCCACCTTGCTCTAGGAGTGAGAAGGATATATTGAAGTGGTATGTCATGTAGGGCCACCTTGCTCTAGGAGTGAGAAGGATATATTGAAGTGGTATGTCATGTAGGGCCCCCTTGCTCTAGGAGTGAGAAGGATATATTGAAGTGGTATGTTATGTAGCGCTACCTGGTGGGTGTGGGAAGCATATTTGGAAGTTGAGTGTTGTGTAGGGCTACCTGGTTGGTGTATGAAACATATATGGAAGTTGAGTGTTGTGTAGGGCTACCGTATGGGTGTGGGAAGCATATTTGGAAGTTGAGTGTTGTGTAGGGCTACCGTATGGGTGTGGGAAGCATATTTGGAAGTTGAGTGTTGTGTAGGGCTACCGTATGGGTGTGGGAAGCATATATGGAAGTTGAGTGTTGTGTAGGGCTACCTGGTGGGTGTATGAAACATATATGGAAGTTGAGTGTTGTGTAGGGCTACCGTATGGGTGTGGGAAGCATACATGGACGTTGAGTGTTGTGTAGGGCTACCTGGTTGGTGGGAGAAGCATATTTGGAAGTTTAGTTTTGTGTATGACTACCTGGTGGGTGTGGAAAGCATATTTGGAAGTTGAGTGTTGTGTATGACTACCTGGTGGGTTGGGGAAGCATATTTGGAAGTTTAGTGTTGTGTAGGGCTACCTGGTGGGTGTGGGAAGCACATTTGGAAGTTGAGTGTTGTGTTGGGCTATCTTGTGGGTTTGGGAAGCATATATGGAAGTTGAGTGTTGTGTATGACTACCTGGTGGGTGGGGGAAGCATATTTGGAAGTTGAGTGTTGTGTAGGGCTATCTTGCTTTCGAAGTGGGAAGGATATATTGAAGTGTTATGTTGTGCAGGGCCACCTTACTCTGAGAGTGCGAAGGATGTATTAAACTGTTATTTTGTGTATGGCTACCGTGTGGGTGTGGGAAGCATATTTGGAAGTTGAGTGTTGTGTAGGGCTACCTGGTGGGTGTGGGAAGCATATGTGGAAGTTGAGTGTTGTGTGGGGCTACCTTGCTTTGGGAGTGGGAAGGATATATTGAAGTAGTCTTCATAGAAGGAGATGGTCCGGGTTCCAACACTCATGGCATACTGGAGGGCGTTCAGGGATTCATTCTGGGCCCAAATACGGTACTGGAATACAAGAAACATATAACAATCGTTTGACATGTGTGAAAAATGATTTCGAAAGACATCCAAAGTGCCTGAATGAAAAAACACCTTTGAACAGTAATTATTGATACACAGATGGTGATGATAGAAATGCCCATTATTGTCTTAGTTAAGTATTTGTTTGTTGTACTCGAGTCTGGGCCACCAGACAAACAAGTGAGTGATGTAATGAGCAACGTCCCACGACGCCGGGATACAATGGCATGCAATCAACCCATCCTGACCATTCAATAGTCCAATCAAACGACAGACAACGCTGTGACCAATTAGTTGGCGGCTTTGTGGCTGACTTAAAGAAATACAACGCCTGGTAAACCAGTCACAGCTATTTAAACCTATATGCCAACATTGCGATAGGCACCAGCACATGAAAGATAGATTTGCTACAGTGAAATAAAATATGCAACGTCATGGCGGTGATGACATGGTTCGTTTCAGCCGGCATCGCCCCCATCGTGTCGACATCTCCGTCATGAGGTGTAGTTTGTCACACTATAATTGTATCGCATGTTGGATGTGAGAACGAATTGTCATAAGTATCACCTTCCAATACTTATATACTTTACTATAGGAGTTTTAACATCACCCAGATTAATTGAGGACGAGTATCACCTTTTTCTAGTATGCCCGCATCATGATGAACTAAGAAAAGTATATTTACCAAAATATTTTCATGTAAACCATTGTACATTTAAGTTTAAACTATTACTGACCACAAGCAACATTGAAACCATAAGAAATCTTTCTATGTACATATATCATGCTTTTATACAAAGAAAATCAAGTTTGGAAATTATATGATTGTACCAATTGCACCTGTAATCGTGATTGTACTATAGGCTTGTGGCCTCCTCAGAACGTTGAATACAGAAATTGAAATTGAACATCATCCAGAAACGTGTTTGAATTAAAAAAACCCAACAGAAGCAGGTTTCCTATTACTCTTTTCCTGACTTCCCCAAAACATGAATCCTTTTGATAGTCACTTTAGGTGTGAGTCACAGAAAATCCTATGTCTTTAATTAGCACTTCCATCTAAGTAACATTTCTTCGGTTTCAATAAAACATGTATAAAACATATTCTTTTAGCTATCTTAATAAAACTGTTGCAAGCTCTTAAGATGCTCATATCATAACATCACATGTCGAAATAAAAACCGGAAGCAGAAATAAATATGCTTCTACGTCCCTTAATACACACAGTTTTATGAATTTCTAATTCAACAACATATCCAATGCAGTACAACATTGAGACAGATCAGTTAAATAATGTTACCTAGATAGCACATTCGTTCAATCAGTTAAATAATGTTACCTGGATAGCACATTCATTCAATCAGTTAATTAATGTTACCTGGATAGCACATTCGTTCAATCAGTTAATTAATGATACCTGGATAGCACATTCGTTCAATCAGTTAAATAATAATACCTGGATAGTACATTCGTTCAATCAGTTAATTAATGTTACCTGGATAGCATATCTTGCTCAATCAGTTAATCATAGTTACCTGGATAGTATATTCGTTCATTCCATTAATAAATGTTACCTGTATAGCATATCTTGCTCAATCAGTTAATCATAGTTACCTGGATAGTATATTCGTTCATTCCATTAATTAATGTTACCTAGATAGCACATTCGATCAATTAGTTAATTAATGTTACCTGGATAGTACATTCGTTCAATCAGTTAATTAATGTTACCTTGATAGCACATTCGTTCAATCAGTTAATTAATGTTACCTGGATAGCACATTCATTCAATCAGTTAATTAATGTTACCTGGATAGCACATTCGTTGAATCAGTTAATTAATGTTATCTAGATAGCACATTCGTTCAATCAGTTTATTTATGTTACCTGGAGAGTACGTTCGTTCAATCAGTTAATTAATGTTACCTGGATAGCACATTCGTTCAATCAGTTAAATAATGTTACCAGGATAGTACATTCGTTCAATCAGTTAATTAATGTTACCTGGATAGTATATTCGTTCAATCAGTTAATTAATGTTACCTAGATGGTATATTCGTTCATTCCATTAATTAATGTTACCTAGATAGCACATTCGATCAATCAGTTAATTAATGAGTGAGTGAGTGAGTTGGGTTTAACGCCGCTTTTAACAGTATTCCAGTTATATCACGGCGTGTCAGCTTAATGTGGGAGGAAAGCCCGAAGTGATGCAGGTCTCAGACGTTTACCACTTCGGTGAAACCCACGAGCACGGGTATGGTGCTGACAAACCTAGAAACATAATCGGGGCGAACCGGGATTCGAACCCACAATCATAGGTTTCTGGCGTGTCCAGGGGACGCAACTCTGCACAGCGAATCGCGGCGCCTTAGACGACTGGGCCACCCGTGCCCCTAGTTAATTAATGTTACCTGGATAGTACATTCGATCAATCAGTTAATTAATGTTACCTGGAAAGCACATTCGTTCAATCAGTTAATTAATGTTACCTAGATGGTATATTCGATCAATCAGTTAAATAATGTTACCTGGATAGCACATTCATTCATTCAGTTAATTAATGTTACCTGGATAGTACATTCGTTCATTCAGTTAATTAATGTTACCGAGATAGCACATTCGATCAATCAGTTACATAATGTTACCCAGATAGCACATTCGTGCAAACAATTAATCAATGTTACCTAGATGGTATATTCGTTCAATCAGTTCATTTATGTTACCTGGATAGTACATTCGTTCATTCATGTATACTCTGTCACATGCCTTTGATGCTTGCCATAAGAGGTCAGATTAACTTCAACACTTCAAGTGTCACGCGCTATACACGTGATCGTGTCGTGTGCACGGTATATTGAAACAAATACGGAAACACACATAGATCCCCCCTTCCCTCCCCAATCCTCCCCCCGGAGCCCCCTCGTTCCGATGTCGTTGGGTCCCGCTCTGCGCTAGATGCACTTGATGTGTCAAAACGTCTTGACAAAGTTCACCTCCAGGCCTCTTCTGGTCGTGTTGGACAGATACTGGAAGTCGGATACGACGAAGGCCACGAGATACGTCGACATGATAGGGGTTGTTGGGTAGATGTCGGCAACGAAACCAGGTTCCCTTGACAAACAAAACAAATGGCACTGGAAAATCGGTCAACTTTACTTGTACAGGCAAAATGCATAAACACATTTATTTGACATGCAACATGTATCACTATAAGCATGTGTGTGTTTCAGGTAAGTGTATTAGTTTCTCACATATTATTTTGAGGCTGTGAGTAAGTGAGGGAATTGGGTTTAACGCCGCTTTTAACAGTATTCCGGTTATGTCACGGTATGTCAGTATGCGAGAGGGAAGGTCGCAGATATTTACCACTTTGGTGAAACCGACGAGCACGGGAATAGTGATAACAAACCTTGAAACATAATCGGGACGAACCAGGATTCGAAACCACATTCATAGGTTTCTGGTGTGCCTAAGGGGCGCAACTCTGTTGAGTGACTTTGACGATTGGGCAACCCCTGTCCTTGAGGCTGTGAGGGATTGCTGGTGCCATTCGGGAGATTGCAAATTGTGTATTGATATTCACAGTGAATTGATGTTCTTCAGCCGTGAGGCTGCTCGATCCGTGAAGATCCGGGTAGACAATAGGTCTTCGGCAACCCATGCTTGCAACAAGAGGTGAAAATGCTTGTCGGATCGGGTGGTCGGGCTCGCTGACTTGGTTCATGCATGTCATTGTATCCCAATTGCGTAGATCGAGGCTCATGATGTCAATCACTGGGTTGTCTGGTCAAGCTTGATTATTTACAGACCGCCGTCATATAGCTGGAATATTGCTGAGTGCGGCGTTACACAACAAACAAACAAACAAACAAACAAATGTGAACGCAAATGTAGGCTGCTCACCTATTCTCTGTCCTCTGTAACTTCATGTTGGAGATTGTGGAGAGATCCTGCCTCCGGACTAGTGTGATGTTGAAGTGAGCTTTAAGTTCAGGTTCATCAAAACACGGGAAGGCTTTGCGGGCGTCTGTAGATTCGAACTGGGTGGTGGCCAGATACCTATGACATACAACCTGCGTACAGTGGGTGGGTTTGGTTCTCGACACTCCAAACAATAGTTACATCACGGCTGGAACAAAAACCATAGTGATTCACGGCAAGCAGCGAATGTGGCATTCAGGGTCATGATCATTGGATCTTGCACTGCCAAAGGGACGCAACTCTCCACATCGACTGGGCCGCTGTGCCCGTATAATATTTACACGTTTGTAGCGTTTGAACGAGCTGAGATAAAACCTAACAAGATCATCCTTCAAAGGTCTAGTAAAGTTCATCCTCTCATCGTGGTGCTTGTTGGTTTTTTAAAGGACACAAAATACACATTTCAGTACATTAAAGTCACAATACATATGTCATGGTACATGTGAAATTCTTTGATTCGTATTGACAATAAATAAGAACATTCAATAAGAAGCTAAATCTGAGGTGTAGCAACGAGATAGAATTTGACAAATTTGTTATTATTACATGTTGAACAGGCTGAATACTGGTTTGTTATACAATAATCCCTCAACCCTCTGGATCCTCTGTATTCAGCAGAGCATTTCATGAATGGTACTTTATCATAAGATCTTTAAGAGCCGAAGTCATTGAGATCAATGGATCGTTATTTGAAGTTAAAAAAACTAATATTACTTTTACTTTCGTAAATGTTATTCCTAGAGAAGCGTTGGTGTTTATCCAATGATGGATTTCAGTCCGGTTTGAGTTGACAAAACACATTGTGCAAAATCACAAGATTCATCATAGCAGAAAAGACATGATGAAGAATTACCATATCCCGTAATCTGTTCATATAAATGATATTACATGTTTTTTTCCACTCAAAGTCCGAATAGACTTTCTTAATAATCTCCTCCCATTTAAACTCATATTTTGTTTGAACTTAGAATCTAACAGAATATTGTAAAATGCTTTGATTTGAAGCTGGAAAATATTCAAAGGTGAGATATGGATTAGTATAATAAACGACCGCCAGTGTCTAGTAGGTGCGTGTATTCCATGATAGCTTTCTCAACCAATAGAAAGTCAAATCATCGGAATCAACTTCAGACATTTTTTTTATATTAAAAACGTAAAGTGAAAGAAACTTTCTTCTTTTATCAAGAAAGTCATCTGTTGTTTGTATTTTTAACACTGAGGACCAATTCTAACCCGGACCTTACCAGGGTGTTACTTTACAAATAACGTTTACATTAGAGAACAATAAGTAGGTACTTACACCGTTGTGTCTCCACGTTTGTACGAGCTGAGATAAAACCCCACGAGATCATCCTTCAAAGGTCCAGTGAAGTTCATCTTCACGTAATAGACCCTGTTCTTGATCATGTTTTTATTCAAATGTATTTTCAGAAGCTGATTGCCTGAATCAAGTTCATGGGACACATATTTCACATCGTCCGAATTATTATCGTCCACCCCAAACTGAACTGACCCGGAAGTGATGTCAAGTTTGTTAGCATGTAGAATGACGTCATTCGATGGTTGCAAACACTCAATAGTTATCTTCACATGACCGTTAAAGGTGAAGGCCGACGGGTCCCCTTCGTACATATTTGGTCTCATTTCAAGATCATAGAATATCGGCTTGACAGTTTTAGGGAGGAATATAACATCTTCCTTTGGTTTTGCAGCTTTGCATAGCCCACCTGGAACATTAAAACAATGATTATATGAATTCTAATTAATATTTCTAGATTTTCTGGACAATAAGAACACGTTTTCCCTATAACAGACTGGCGTCCTTAGATATGTAATGTCCGCTTATCTGGGCTTGCCGAAGACACGGATAGAATTACTATACACCCATGTAGCAAGGCTAACTTACGTACATCTCGTATAAGGACCCTCGATTATTCAGGGTTATGTGGGGGGCACGGGTTGCCCAGTCGTCTAAGGCGCCGCGATTCGCTGCGCAGAGTTGCGTCCCCTGGGCACGCCAGAAACCTATGATTATGAGTTCGAATCCCGGTTCGCCCCGATTATGTTTCTAGGTTTGTCAGCACCATACCCGTGCTCGTGGGTTTCATACCCGTGCTCGTGGGTTTCACCCAAGTGGTAAACGTCTGAGGCTTGCATCACTGGAATACTCTTAAAAGCGGCGTTAAACCCAACTCACTCACTCACTCAGGGTAATGACCCAAATCCATTATGATCCAAATACATGACCTAATTAGGAAATAGCTATATGGAGGACAGATTCATATTACTTGATGCTGGAATCCTAATCAAATTGCAATTTTGAGCTAGAAAATGGAAAGAAAAAAAAGTTAGTTATACAGCTTGAGATGATGACGCCACTTCTGAAAAGAAGCAGGTTGGCAGTTGAGTCAGAGGTATTTGTCATGAAAGATTGGAGTCATAATACACTGGGTAATCGAGGATGATCTTTACCTGATAGAGATAACGTGTTAACACACGTTTCCCAAACAAGATGGACCATTGAGGGAGCGTGTGAGTGAATTTGGTTTGTTTTGACAGTTTTTCAATTATAAAAAGGGTAAGAAAAGCATCAAATGATGAAGGGTGTTTTTTTCATCACTTGATGAAGTCCATGGATGAAGGTACTGAGCTGAAGAAATCCTGGTCCTGGTACGTCCAAGGGACGCAACTCCGAATAACAATTATAACAACTTGGCGGACCGTGTCCGCAGCATAAGGTCACGGAAGCATGGTCAAGGTCAAGGAAGCCTGCTACACTCACAGGGTATCAGGGTGCAACCCGGCCTCGCTCTAATCCAGGATACCTGTGAAGATCCGGGGTAGAATAGGTCTTCAGCAACCCATGCTTGCCGTAAAAGGCGAGTATGCTTGTCGTAAGAGGCGAAGTACGGGATCTGGTGGTCAGACTCGCTGACTTGGTTGATGCATGTCATCGTATTCCAATGGCATGAATCGATGTTCATCGTGTCAAACACTGGATTGTCAGGTCCAGACTCGATTATTTACAGTCCGCCGTCATATAGCTAGAATATTGCCGAGTGCGTCGTTAAACAACAAACAAACAAGTCTAATCAAGCATACATATGTATTAGCGGAACAGCGTAAGTGCACAAAATTGCACAATAACATGTCTCTGTTGCCATGCAGCGCGTATTTATCTCGGCTGTCCTTGACATGCTGTACATGCAGACGGTGTGGTGAGCTGGGACTAAGGTGAAGCTTAAACAACATCCAGTCTGGTGTGTTCGGTTGCTACTTGAAATGCCTGTTGTACTTACCTGTGTGAACGTATGTACGGTGAGGGAGTAATACTGTGATTAAAGTGTAAAGAGTAATTTGGCGATACACGCGTTCGGTTCCAAATTAAATTCAGCTAAAATAAATCTACAGGTAACCTTGCTCTACATTGAAAACACAGTATGTTTAGCTCCATTCTACCATGACTAAATAAAACGCGAACTTTTTAGTTTCAACAAATAAATTGAGTGATGCGTCATGAGTCCAGTGTTTTGAGTGGGTTGTCACTTTGACTTTACGGAATCACCGACAGGAACCCCTAAACAAAATATGGCGCTCTCTATGCTCAAGCAGAAAATTAAGCAAGCCTCTAAAAGGTGTCGTTCTCCACCGTGCGTGATTATTACGACGTCATATCGCTAATTATGACACACAAAAATGACGTCACATTCGTATGTATACTTAACCGCAAAAGAAACGTCACCCCAAGTAACATTGCATGAAAAGTTGTCATTTAAATATCTGGGTAATTTTTGTCAAAGTTTCTAAAATTTAAGATTACCTTGACCGGAAAAAAATGCAATTTGATGATAAAAAAAGCAGATGACAATAAAACCGATCACCCAAACGCATCACGGCAACGGCCATGGTAACCCGATGCACGTGAGTTCTGTGCAAACTGAAATGCACATGCGTTCCCCCATTTCTTGCCCTATAAAAATCCAACCAGATCGGATAACATTCATTCGTTATTGAATTGCTGCCACATGCCAAGATTGACAAGAAATCAGAGACACAACGCTCTTGGACGATTGCAAGCTGGACAAACCACCCGGCAAGTAGCCAATGTATCTTAAATCCACGTACGGACCATGTACAGGCTCCAGCAACGGTACCAGACCACCATCACTACAGATGACCGACCACGTAGTGGAAGACCAAGGGTCACCAACCAACGTCAGGATCGTCATATTGTGCGACAGCATCTTCTAGATCGCTTTGTTACTGCTGCGGAAACTGCTCGACAGACCATGGGGACACACCAGCGACACATTAGTGCGGACACCGTGCGTCGACGATTGACGAGCAGACACCTCAACTGTCACAGGCCACACCGAGGACCCATTTTGACACCATGTCATCGCCGGGACCGTCTTCAGTGGCAAACACGGCACCAGCATTGGCGCCACCAGCAGTGGAGAAGAGTCCTCTTCTCAGACGAGAGCCGTTACTGTATCTCAACAGCAGATGGCAGAGAGAGAGAGAGAGAGTCAGGCGACGCCGTGTGGAACGTTATTCGGATGCTTGTGTGGTGTGGGGTGGAATTGATCTTGCACAGAGGGTCGGCCCTGTGGTCTTCCAGAACATCGGTCCAGATAGAGGCAATGGTGTCACAGCAGCTCGGTACATTGATCAAGTCTTGAGACCACACGTCATACCTCATTTGGCACGTCGCCGCAACCACGAGTTTCAGCATTGTAACGTCCGTGCCAACACTGCGAGAGCAACAAGAGACTTCCTCCAGCAGAATGGCATCAGAACCATGCAGTAACCTGCCCTCAGTCCCGATTTAAATCCCATTGAGCACCTGTGGGACGAGATTCAAAGACGGCTGAATGACGTCCGACCAAGGCCGACAACTGCAGCTGAACTGCGTCAGGCGTTCTTCAGAGTGTGGGCTCAAGTGTCTTTGGCCTTCATCAACCGCCTCATCCATTCCATGTATCGACGTTGCACGGCAGTCATCAATGCACATGGCGGACACACGAGATACTGACTTGTGATGTCATTTTCTCAGACAAATGTTGTGTTTCACTTTAAGAACATTTAACACTTTAGTTTCAACCTTGATGATCAGTTTTGCCGAGTTTCATATTTTTAATATGTCTCAAAGTATGTTTACAGTGTTTGGAAAAATAATGTTTCTCATATATCTATCCATATTGACGTTTATGTTGCGGTTCAGTATAGAAAAGCGCCAAATAGCAAGTTTTCTATTGTCCTCAAAACTTTAAATACATTCTCTTTCTAGATTTCTACCGTATTTTGTGCACGAAATATACTGTCACACATTCAGTGTATATTGTAGTAACGGAAACTTTGCATTTTGTAACATATATTTGAACATATAAATAAGCCTCAGAATTAGAAATAGGGGGCTCTAATTAGAATATTATTTTGGTGGAAAAAACAGAGTTGAAAGATATATTTCGTGGTTTATGCTGACAGCCTGAATTGTTTACATACGACAGATATATTTTTTCAGAATTTATTTGCCCATAATTAAGGATGCATATAACCACGAGTGCGTATTTTACGCGAATAAATAAGTCTTGTGTACATTGTTCAATCGGAAGGGGTACTAATTGGGATTGTCACTAGCCAATATATGAGCAATTATCGCCGTGGACGTTATTGGAGCGGGGCTCTTATTACGTCGAATATGGTATATAAATGGATGTCTGAAAATATAGATGACCAAACAAATTGTTTTTCCAATATTTGTGATGAATTAATCAAATGGAATGTTGTTAAGAAATGAAATAAATTCGTATTTTGAAGTTTAAAGGATGTCAATTTTACTGTGACGCACATTTGAGACGATTTACGTTACCCGTCATGTTGGCATGCTGTGACCCACTAGCGGATATATTCTTCACACTTACGCAAAACAAAGTAGTTCCAGTTCCGTAAATAAAAATATTAAAAAACACGACTCATTGTTAATCAACGAGAGTTATTAATTCAAAATCAGAAATGACTTTCATTTTCACCCAACCTCCACCTCAAAGAAGTTACCAAATATGTACAATACATTTTGATGTATGACACCGCAGCCGGTGATCAACTTTCACAAAATCGTGTGTCCTTTGACATCAGTATGCGGGATTGTATGTGGGGACTTTTGTTCATTCAGGGATCGTACATACATAAATGTGCCATGTAAGTAGTCTGAAACGTTCTGTCAATCTGCATATTTTTTTTATGTGTTTCATTTTAACCAAGAGAATTAGTCAGAAATGACGGTAAAAGTTTTCGTTGTGCATGATTTTGTGTCAATCATGCCGTCACACAGGACGGAAACTTTGACAATTTCTGTCGATTTTACCAAATCATTGAATGTATCTATTTTCTAATTTCCTAGTTCTTGCAACGACACTCTTCCAAGAATATTCTAAAAAACATAGAGCTATCGTATCTCTCAAAATAGGAGAAAATGCTACACAGTGTTATATCTGAATTTGGAATTGTTCACATTTCAAACGAACACGTGATGTAATAGGCGTCCATTATACTCTGTAAACGTCACATTTTGAAGTTTGTTGAAAAATGAACGGGTCATATGATCAGCAAAGAAACAAATCAAATCATCGGAAATCCCTTAAACTTCAAAATAAGAGATTATTATTATTTACCAGTTTCCAAAGTTCTGAATTCTCAGAGTTTGACATGTAAATTCCTTTTTTGTTGAAATTTCATTCAAAGCGGAAAAGATAAAAGCGGGATTTAGACATTACAAATAAACCATAATACTTTATTGGAATGATGGCTAAATGTTTTCACATCATGTATGTGCGATCAGTTCCTAAGCAATTATCGTTTACTAGTTCAATCCGAATCCACACACCTCCGAGGGATTCCAGGTTGACTTGGATGGCTGTGTGTCAGCATACCTCGACGGCGTGGAGCGTTGCTTAAGTATAAATCACTGCATTTTCCAGACTCACATAGGCCACCATCATGTAGTTAGAGTGAGTGAGCGAGTATGGTTTTACGCCGCTGTTAGCAATATTCCAGCAATATCACGGCGAGGGACACCAGAAACTGGCTTCACACATTGTACCCATGTCGAGAATCGAACCCGGGTCTTCGGCGTGACGAGCGAACACTTAAACCACTAGGCTACCCGACCGCCCGGTCATGTAGTTAGAATAATTCAGAGTGGGGCGTTAAAAAAACAAAAGGAACAGGTACATCATAATACTAGTACTCACATATTTCTGACATGGGGTCTCTGGCTAGAGCCTTGCATCCTTCCAGAGCAGCATCCCCATGGAGCCCGGACTCCCCTGGGATTGCGGGGGAACACACACATGTCACCTCCTTGCCTTTCTCCACGAAATGCACGATCAGTCCAACTCCAACAGCCACAGCTATAGCCACAAGCGCCAACACTCCCCCAGTGATGGGAGAAACACGGAGACCAGGCTTCTGGTCCTTCTTTTCCGGGAGCTCATTGTCATTGTGAGCCATGATCACAGATGAACACAACCACCACCACTGAGATGCTGTTAGGGCCTGTAACAGTGAGATCTCACCAACACTTTGTACAGATCTCGTAGCGGGTTTGCACTATCCACTGAAGCCTGTCTTAATACATACGTGTGATCACCCCTCACCTAGTCTCTGTAAACATATTGTCAAGCCTGCTATTATTTATATGGTTGAGCTAGTAACCCCAGGAGATAAAACTCGCACGGAGCCTCTGATCTGTCAGCGGCCATGGCTCCTGTACCCGGCTGTTTGGTAATGTTCATGTGTGTAAGATGACTGGGTATCCATGAGATGTAGTGGAACTGTGTTATCAACATACTCTGCCTCACGTGGAATGCTGGGACCCTCGAACATTGCCAACACTATTGACCACTTGTCTGCCAGGACGAGGCATGGTGCCCTTACAGACCGACTGCTTATGCGCTCTAGCCGCACTCTACGTTCTGCCGATATGATGAATTTAAAGGTTCCAGAGAACCGAATAAAACTAGGAGATAGATCCTTCTCTGTTGCAACCCCATCCATATACAACTCTCTTCCTCTCTACATAAAAGCAGCTGAAACGTCTGCCCACTCCGAAATTTTTTAAAGACTCGTTTGTTTCAAGACGCCCATGTGCCTGTGTGATCTTTATTACCGGTGGACGCCTTTAAGCAGCTCTCTAGTTGAGACATTATAAATTAACTAGTATTGTGATAATGATAATGGTGGTCATTATTATTCTGTACAGCTTAAAATAAAGAATGCAGCAAAGAGAATTTGGGTGATCCTGGCACTGTCAGGCTGGTAAGGCTCATCATCAGCTCTGGGCCCTTGCCCCTCTACACGCAGCCCAGACAGCGAATGGGACTTCTCCCAGGAAGTTCTGCCTATTCAAACCCACCCAGGACTTTTCGGAGAATGTGAAGACTCCCCAACACTGCAGCCTTCTGCATTACCCAGATTGTCAGAAAGGTTGTATTCCCTGAGAGCAAACCCGAGCAAACCCGAGTACTCTCCCAATGTCAGTCAACAGATTGGGAGGTACCAAACCTAAGGCACCGAGAATAAGGGGGAGTCGGACAACTTGGTACTTGGGATGCAAGCGTGGCATTTCGAAAGCGAGGTCTGCATATTTGCCATGTTTTTCCTCAATCTTGTCAATCACATTACTGTCAAAAGGGACAGAAAATTCAATGATATAAATGATTTCATTGGATTTATCAAAAAGGACAAGATCAGGTTTGTTGGCCTGGATACGTCTGAGGCTGTAAATGGGCCTAATCCAAAGAAATTTGTATTTATCTTTTTCCATGACGCCCTCTATATATTCCGGGTCGTACCATGGGTGGAATTATTATTATTATTGTTGTTATTATGATTATGATTATTATTATATTAGGTATTTAAGAGATGGTTGGTGGTCTAATTTTGTTTTGCTATTTCATCGATGGTTTGAGATTTCCCTTACAACTCTCCTTCTGCTTCACGAAGTAAAGGGAAGTACAATATATAGTACCTGATATTTGGGTATTCTTTGAAAAATATGTACATAAGTAGTTTGGAAATCAAGATAAAATTAACGATCTTAACGCAACCATCGCCAGAACACCACGACGAATGTGTTTCATCTCAATGATGTGAAAGATGTCCTGTAGAAGCACGTGCATGTAATGCATGAATAGTATATAAAAGATTCAGAATTAAGAATCCAAAAATGCACAACAGTAAAATGCCAATATTCTAAGCAGCGGAGCGAGACGTAGCCGTCGGTATGACGCAGTTTGGGGCTTCCAACAGCGACATTGCCAGAACCTTTGGCTGTATAGATCATACTAAACCAACAGACAAAAAAAACGCCACCAAACAAAACAGACGCAAAACAGACGCAAAATTTAGTAACAGTTAATGTTTTATTATAAAAAAACAATTATTCAAAAATAGTATTTGAAAATGACAAGATCAAAACACATGTACTCAAAGTTCTGCAGACACTGTGCAGTATTCGATCACACCCGCAGAACTGACCGCGATCTCTTTTAAAGTCTCGTGCTACACACATTGCTCAATATCGGATGTAACCCCCTCCAGAAACGATGCAGTCCCTAACAAGACGTCGAACCGAGTACACGAGTCTCCTGACGTCCTGATTATGGATCCTACACCATTCCTCCTGCAGGGCAATTGCCAAGGCATCCCTCGTCAATGGGGGTTGGTCCCAGAGGTGCTCTATAGGCGATGATCTGGCTGGCCACTGTAATACGGTCACGTTGTTGGCGTTCAGAAAGTCGCTAGTGACTCGAGCTGTGAGAGGGTGGCGTTGTCCTGCTGAAACAGCGTCCATGGGTGTCGTTGCAGGAAAGGCAGTTTCACAGGCAGCAATACCTCATCCATGTAACGACGTGCAGTGAGATTTCCGTCGATGATGACCAGATCTGTCTTCTGGTCCCCGCAGATGCCACCCCGGACCATGACACTACCACCTCCATAAGGCTCCACTTCTTGGACGCAACAACATGCCGTCCATTCACCACGTCGTCGGTAGATTCGAACCCGCCCATCAGACTTGAAGAGCTGGCACCTACTCTCGTCGCCAAAGAGCACTCCTCGCCAATTTCTCTGTGCTGCCACTGCTGTACAGTCCTGGCCCATCTCAGTGTGTGACGTCGGTGTAGGAACGTTAACGTCATGCCCTTGAAAGGTCGATACGGGCGGACCATACAGGCGGAGTCGTCTAGCAACGATCCTTCGGCTAACTGGATGTCCAAGGCTGTTTGCGGATGATGATGACGTCACATTTAGGAATCTGGACCTCAGGTGAAGCACCCGTAAACAACTATCTTCATGTGGGGCCGTGACCTTGTGTCTTCCACTCCTCGGCCTGTCTGCAGTACTGCCAGTTTGCCTGTGACGTGTGACAAGTCTGGCGATGGTGCACTTGAAGCAGCCCATGATCCTGGCAACGTGATCCTGCGTCGCTCCCGTTTGCAACATACCGATGGCTCTCTTCATCTGCTCTGCTCGTCAAGCCGAAGACCCGGGTTCGATTCCCGACATGGGTACAATGTGTGAAGCCCATTTCTGGTGTCCCCCGCCGTAATGTTGCTGGAATATTGCTAAAAGCGGCGTAAAACCATACATACTCACTCACTCACTCCTCTGCTCTGCGGTTAGTCGAGGCATGTTCGTTGTTTTAAACGGTTTCATGTGATGAGAGAGTACAATCCTGCTTAAGTTTTATACTATAATGCCATACGGGTAACTTTGTGCACGTTTTGCATTCTTTGGTTATTAAATTGGAATTTCACTTTTCTCGCAAATCAAGTGAATCGCGTGCACATGTTCACCGGGAATAGGTAAGTTGCATTCCAGCTAAGTGTTCCTTACCGTTTTCTTGCTGTTTGGCAAATTTGTTGAAAAATGACGACCACTATTTATTTGGTAGCGTTTCTGTTGCCCCTCAGTTGATAATGAGACTGCTGAAATGTGTCAACAAAACTGACCAGACATCCTATCGTTCCAGAAGTGAAAGACCAAGGGTGACCACTTGCGCCAACTCCATTTACGCAACAGGTGTCTGAAGATAACGTTAAAGGACTCAACAGCCTTTGGTCATCCCACATCAGAAACACAGATATGAGACGACTGTGTGATGCCGGTATCTTAGCCTATCGCCCATTTCGCGTGATGCCCTTGACGACTGACAGAAGATGGGCATTGCACAATGCTATTATCTCCAGCCAGGGAGGTCAAAAGTTAATGGACGACTTAGAGAGGATGGACACCGTACAATGTCGTTATCTCCGGTCAGACAAGTCAAAAGTTAATGGACGATGAAGAGAGTATGGACACTGTGCAATGTCGTTATCTCCTGTCAGAGAAGTCAAAAGTCAAACGACCCTCCCAACCTATATTTTCATACATTAAGACCTTACATAAGAAAGAGAATTTATGGATGTCAACTTCTTTATTATGAGGAACACAACGTTTCGGAGTATAACGGCTGCAGAGATAAACTTGCTTAACAATAACCAATTAATGATTTAAATAAAGAACGCAGGACAAATCACATGCTTACATTACCTCAATCTTATTAAAATCATATACAAGTTCCCGCTATCGACGAGGACATCCATTTACAGGTCACGTCAGAACAACCTTTCGCGAACTATGACCTACCAATGAAATGACCAGCAGGAAGTCGACGTTAGCCACTTAGAAAGCAGCTTCCTTAAGCTTTGGGTACCAGTTTCAAAGTTGCGGCTTCCGTTCCAGACTATGATTTTTAAAGTATTTTGAATAAGTCATACAGTCCGCAACAGTTGTTTTGTGTTAAACTTTAGAGGTTGCATGATTAGAAAACATATTCCGACAACAGTGTAACATAATATGAATATTTATTTTATATTTTTTATTGCTTGTTTGAATCCTTATCTATCGTGTAGTTGTCCGATTTTCGATCACAAACGTTGATACTACTTAATTTCGTTTATCCGACATACTCGTTAATCCGACATAATCATATGCAACCATCGATGTCGGATTAACGGGACTTGACTGTATATGCTTACTCCTTCGTCAGGTGAATGAATGAGGCAGAGAGTATATAAATGTACATGTAAGGACAACAAAAATACTAAGATAACAAAAGGTAGAAAATAACAAAGGGTAGAAACAAACAAGGGAAGCCAACAGATGATTGGCGCTGATAGGTGACTAGCAACAGACAATAGAAGCCAACACTTTCCAGTAATTAGCGCTGATGGTATGGAAGCCAGAACTTAAGTATCATAGATAAGTAATAGGTAATGGACACTGGGCAAACGGGAGGCTGGGGGTAATTAGCACCATATATTCTTTTCCTAATGTGTATCACTTCTAAATGCCTTTCAAAGACCTGATTAAGACCTTACATTGTTTAGATATCCTTACATGACATCGATATTAGTATGATACATATAGCAGAGATGCCCGGTGAAGAGTTGCCACACCTACATTGTGTGTTTCACTAGACGGTCGGGGCGGTGGGGTAGCCTAGTGGTTAAAGCGTTCGCTCGTCACGCCGAAGACCCGGGTTCGATTCCCTACATGGGTACAAATGCGTGAAGCCCATTTCTGGTGTCCCCCGCCGTGATATTGCTGGAATATTGCTAAAAGCGGCGTAAAACTATACTCACTCACTCACTCACTAGACGGTCGAAAGTTCTGAGCCATATCAGATGTTGCAAAGAAATGGAGAAAGAACTTAAATTATCCAGTAACTACCGCCATGAAACGCTGTGTATTTTAACATGAGTATGTGAGTAATGAACCCAAACAAATGTGTCTTTCAGTAATACGTGTCAGCGTACAAATTTTTAAAATTGATCTTTTAATATATATATATTGTATGTTAGTGCAAGAAAAAGTGATTTGACATGTACATTTTATATATCGTAAAAGGACATCAACAGATGGTGACTGATTGACTATTAGTTATATTTTATGGTTAGATACATCCTCTATGGTGTATTCGACTTAATAAGCGCTCAGGGCGCTCTCAAAATTAGAAATAGGGAGCTCTTATTAGAATATAATTTTGGTGAGAAAAAAAAACAGAGTTGAAAGATCGTAAATTTCGTGATTTATGCTGACAGCCTGAAAAGATACAAAAGAAAAGTCTGTGCGTATTATACACGACAGATATATTTTCCAGAATCTAATTGCCCATAATTAAGGGTGCATATAACACATGAGTGCATAGCATACACGAATAAATAAGTGTTCATTGATCAATCGGAAGGGGTGCTAATTTGCATTGTTCACTAGCCAATATATTAGCAAATATTGCTAAGTTACAAGTTCACCTCAGCTCAAATCAATTTTGAATTTTTGAAATTCTTTTTACAATGTCAAATGTTAAAACATGTCGGGAAGATAAATTCGTTGTTGCAGGGTCACTCGGGGTACATGGAGTTGTATGCGTCCCTCTTTATTTATGCTTCTTGCCTCCGTCGCGCGGGAAGCAAAAAAACCCATGTACCCCGAGAGATCCTGCTATAGTTGGCTGGTCTGTTGTTTTATGCCGCACTCAGCAATATGCCAGCTGTATGACGGCGGTCTGTAAATAATCACACTGCCGAGAAATGACGAGGCCTTCTTCATGAACACGATAAAGTCATAGAGTGTGCATATAGTTAACAAAATTGTTAAAGTGTGGCCATTCCTATATTTACACACAAGGTACGATTGATAATATATTCAGTTATATCCCATATTCAAATGCTTATTTATTGTCCAGAGTAAATATGGATATATACTCAGTTCCAAAATAAACGCACATCCTAAAGTATGAAATGTAATATATTACCTTTTACCTTTTCGTTTTCACACATTTCACACTTGTGGGTGTTCGATTTTCTCGGATTGAGTATATATTTGGAGTTGCTCTGAACTCATGTTTGTGTTGTTGAGTGGCTCTGTGTGGTGTACACAGCAGATGACGAGATAACGCCAAGAGGTCACACACCCAAGTTGGTCGTGTTACAGGTGAAACTGGCCCTACTCTGTGTGCTCCCACAACACCGACACCATTGATTGTTGTTTGTTTGTTGTTTAACGCCGCACTCAGCAATATTCCACCTATATTACGGCGGTCTGTAAATAATCGAGTCTTGACCAGACAGTCCAGTGATTGAAATTATGAGCATCGATCCGGTCAATTGGGATACGATGAGATGCCTCAACAAACGCAACGAGCCTGACCACCCGATCTCGTTAGTCGCCTCTTACGACAGGCATAGTCGCATGTTAAGGCAAGCATGGGTTGATGAAGACCTATTCTACCCCGGATCTTCACGTGTCCGATCTGAATTAACGAAACACCCAAACTAGCTTGTGAACAAAGTATGGCGCTGTATGTGTTCAAACAGTGTTGCTTTACATCATAAGATTTTACTCGCATATATTTCAGGCATTGAAAGTGTGAAGCATAGCTACGTCTTAAGCTGACATAAAGTTGCCATCCCTTAAGACAATGAAGCACTGCAAAGTTTAGCTCTTCACAGCAAATCGCTATCATGAAGACAAGCTGTTTACTTTGTGACGCAAAGTATGTGACGTCACAATCAGGTATAGAAAGGCGCCAAATTTCAAGCTCACTTGTTTCCCCTAAAACCTGATATACACTCTCTCAGTTTATTTTTCTTTCCGACATCTGAGGCACGGGTCGCCCAGTCGTCTAAGGCGCCGCGATTCGCTATGCAGAGTTGCGTCCCTTGGGCACGCCAGAAACCTATGATTGTGGGTTCGAATCCCGGTTCGTCCCGATTATGTTTCTAAGTTTTTCAGCACCATACCCGTGGGTTTCACCGAAGTGGTAAACGTCTGATACCTGCGTCACTTCGGGCTTTCCTCCCACATTAAGCTGACACGCCGCGATGTAACTGTAATACTGTTAAAAGCGGCGTTAAACCCAACTCCCTCACTCACTCACTTTTCGACATCTGCTGCCCAAAATAATTTGAATATTGTTGTAACCTGTAGTTGTAATATCATTGTTTGTAATGCCGACCGGCAATGATTAAAAAAGAAGTTCTTTGGTTCGTTTCATTAAGAGGTGGTAATCGTGATTTGAAACCTGTGATGGACCAACCAGAATCGAATATTTTCCAAATTCAAGAGTTATGAGTCTACCAACTTTTTCCAATATTCCAGCAATATCACGGCGAGAGACACGACAAATGAGTTTCATACACTGTACCCATGTGTGGAATCGAACCCGGGCCTTAGGCGCGTCGAGCGAACGCTTTAACCACAATGCTACCTGACCGCCCTTCTAATTTGAAAACATTGTCGGTTCATCTCCTATTCTGTGGTGAGATGATTTGACTACGGGAAAAATCTGTGGATATTTCTCCCTCACCATTCAGCTCCCGTTCATGGATAACAGTAAACCTGCTAGTTTCCAAATAACTGATATATTTACATGAAATATTACATGTGCTTGTGCGTAACATAGCTGCCTTTAATCCAAGTACGTGCGTGACGTCATCACCGCCCTGAAGACAAAAGATGTATAAACGTTTGAATTGCGACAGACATACCTACATATATACCAACATATATACCAACAGATATTAGAGTGATCCCAGCCTAGGCTTAAAACTCTCTGGAGTGATCCCAGCCTAGGCTCAACACACTCTAGAGTGATCCCAGCCTAGGCTCAAAACACTCTAGCGTTATCCCAGCCTAGGCTCAAAACACTCTAGCGTTATCCCAGCCTAGGCTCAAAACACTCTAGAGTGATCCCAGCCTAGGCTCAAAACACTCTAGAGTGATCCCAGCCTAGGCTCAAAACACTCAAGAGTGATCCAAGCCTAGGCTCAAAACACTCTAGCGTTATCCCAGCCTAGGCTCAAAACACTCTAGAGTGATCCCAGCCTAGGCTCAAAACACTCTAGAGTGATCCCAGCCTAAGCTCAAAACACTCTAGAGTGATCCCAGCCTAGGCTAAAAACACTCTAGAGTGATCCCAGCCTAGGCTCAAAACACTCTAGAGTGATCCCAGCCTAGGCTAAAAACACTCTAGAGTGATCCCAGCCTAGGCTCAAAACACTCTAGAGTGATCCCAGCCTAAGCTCAAAACACTCTAGAGTGATCCCAGCCTAGGCTAAAAACACTCTAGAGTGATCCCAGCCTAGGCTCAAAACACTCTAGAGTGATCCCAGCCTAGGCTAAAAACACTCTAGAGTGATCCCAGCCTAGGCTCAAAACACTCTAGAGTGATCCCAGCCTAGGCTAAAAACACTCTAGAGTGATCCCAGCCTAGGCTCAAAACACTCTAGAGTGATCCCAGCCTAGGCTCAAAACTCTCTAGAGTGATCCCAGCCTAGGCTCAAAGCACTCTAGAGTGATCCCGGCCTAGGCTAAAAACACTCTAGAGTGATCCCGGCCTAGGCTAAAAACACTCTAGAGTGATCCCGGCCTAGGCTAAAAACACTATAGCGTTATCCCAGCCTAGGCTAAAAACACTCTAGAGTGATCCCAGCCTAGGCTCAAAACACTCTAGAGTGATCCCAGCCTCGGCTAAAAACACTCTAGAGTGATCCCAGCCTAGGCTCAACACACTCTAGAGTGATCCCAGCCTAGGCTCAAAACACTCTAGAGTGATCCCAGCCTAGGCTCAAAACTCTCTAGAGTGATCCAAGCCTAGGCTCAAAACTCTCTAGAGTGATCCCAGCCTAGGCTCAAAACACTCTAGAGTGATCCCAGCCTAGGCTCAAAACACTCTAGAGTGATCCCAGCCTAGGCTCAAAACTCTCTAGAGTGATCCAAGCCTAGGCTCAAAACTCTCTAGAGTGAATTTTTAAGGGACTGATTCGAGCCTGCTGCACCGGCTATACTCACCGACTTTGATGTTGTGTGGCGTGTGGTTCTTGCTGCTGTAGCATGGCCCGGCTATACTCACCGACTTTGATGTTGTCTGGCGTGTGGTTCTTGCTGCTGTAGCATGGCCCGGCTATACTCACCGACTTTGATGTTGTCTGGCGTGTGGTTCTTGCTGCTGTAGCATGGCCCGGCTGTACTCACCGACTTTGATGTTGTCTGGCGTGTGGTTCTTGCTGCTGTAGCATGGCCCGGCTATACTCACCGACTTTGATGTTGTCTGGCGTGTGGTTCTTGCTGCTGTAGCATGGCCCGGCTATACTCACCGACTTTGATGTTGTCTGGCGTGTGGTTCTTGCTGCTGTAGCATGGCCCGGCTATACTCACCGACTTTGATGTTGTCTGGCGTGTGGTTCTTGCTGCTGTAGCATGACCCGGCTATACTCACCGACTTTGATGTTGTCTGGCGTGTGGTTCTTGCTGCTGTAGCATGACCCGGCTATACTCACCGACTTTGATGTTGTCTGGCGTGGGGTTCTTGCTGCTGTAGCATGACCCGGCTATACTCACCGACTTTGATGTTGTCTGGCGTGTGGTTCTTGCTGTTGTAGCATGGCCCGGCTATACTCACCGACTTTGATGTTGTCTGGCGTGTGGTTCTTGCTGCTGTAGCATGGCCCGGCTATACTCACCGACTTTGATGTTGTCTGGCGTGTGGTTCTTGCTGCTGTAGCATGGCCCGGCTATACTCACCGACTTTGATGTTGTCTGGCGTGTGGTTCTTGCTGCTGTAGCATGGCCCGGCTATACTCACCGACTTTGATGTTGTCTGGCGTGTGGTATTTGCTGCTGTAGCATGACCCGGCTATACTCACCGACTTTGATGTTGTCTGGCGTGTGGTTCTTGCTGCTGTAGCATGGCCCGGCTAAACTCACCGACTTTGATGTTGTCTGGCGTGTGGTTCTTGCTGCTGTAGCTTGACCCGGCTATACTCACTGACTATGATATTGTCCGGCTATACTCACTGACTATGATATTGTCCGGCTATACTCACCGACTATGATATTGTCTGGTGTGTGGTTCTTGCTGCTGAAGCATGGCCCGGCTATACTCACCGACTTTGATATTGTCCGGCTATACTCACCGACTATGATGTGGTCTGGCGAGTGGTTCTTGTTGTTAAAGTTAGGCCCGGCGTCGACACAGAAGTGATTGCACTTGAACAGCGCCTCGACGGTGACGTTATTGTTGACGCTGAAGAGGTTCGAGAAGGCGCCATGGTCGTCCACGTCACCGTGGAGACACATGTCGATACACTGCAGGAACCAGCCCGCGCGTAACGTGGCAAATTGGGCGTCATCGAAAGCGGACTTAACTGAATGACAAGAAAGGTGACGTCAGGGTTGCGTCCAAGACTGACTAGACGTACGAGGAGGGCAATCTTTAAATCTGTAACAGAGAGCTTTGGTCTCTAGCATCACTTTCCTGTTGGGTTAACCCCCAGATGCCGGGCCTCCTTCTATTACGCACTGGGTGTACCTCTTAGTATACAATTTCGCAGATAAGTAGAATATTATATGTTCTTGTTGAGGGTGTAAAAGTAGCAATATAAAACGGGTATGGAAAACAGATCCTGCTAAGTGTTTTCCGACATTATGTTATGCGTTAGAAACAGCAAATGTCGCCACTCTTTTTGGGGCATTTTTTTGTTCGCTTGGAATACACATCTGATACGCAAAATAGCTTTCCACAAATACAGATAATCGATTTTCCTGTATGACTTCAAGAGACGATAGTGAGGTTTATACGAGCCCAAGGACAGGGGACATAACTCGAGTACGCATAGAACTAATCCATTGTAACTAAGTTACTTGCTGTGAATTAGCTGTGGATAACAACAGAAATAGGTAAAAGACACGCATCATGATAGAAACTGTTAGCAGCAGGCTAGTTTACTTTTATTCGCCCGACCTTCACCTTAAAGAAAATTGCCAGATATGCACGTCGATGTTTACCTTGACGACTTCTACAAAATGGCGTGTTCACTGACAGCAGAGTGCGGGATTTTCAGTTGGGGGAGGGGGGGAGGATTTCGTTGATTCAGGGATTGTATATAAATGGAAGTAGTCAGAAACAATCTGACAAGCTGCGTATTATCGCGTGTCGTTAGGTTTTCCAAGTAACCAAGAGAATTAGTCAGAAATGCAGATAAATACCGTACGTTGTCGCTGTGCGTGATTTTGTGTCATGGCGTCACGCGGGACGGAAACTGCTACTGTTTCTGTTGAATTAACCTGATCATTGTAACATATCGTTTTTTTATTCCCTAATTCTTGCTACAATACTCTTCCCATGCATATGCGCAAACATGCAAGCCAATATTTACGATAGATAGACTGAATGTATCTCTCAAAATAGGAGAAAATACCACACAGTGTGAATTTTGTATTGTTTACGCTTCAAAGAACTAAAACCATTTAAGCACAGCGTTCGTTTTCACACCTAATTTTTTCGTTTGATTTCATCCAGAAAGTTTGTGTTGGTGATAAAGACCATTTGTCATTTGATTCTAAGTTTATCGTGATTTTGTGAACGGAATCCAATGTGAAGTTGTAAAGTATATTTGTTTGGGTAATTTTGAATTTTATTCGACTTCGAAATGAGGGTTGAGGAGGATGGGCATCATATATAACAACGTAAGTCTATCATTAACGGACCGTCCCCGTGGTCTTGTGCTAGACCGGAAGGTCCTGGGTTCGATGCCCAGCCGGGTCATACCAGAAGACGTTAAAAGATGGTATGTGCTGCCCGGTGCTCGACATAAAGGGAGTAAAACAAGGACCTGTCGGCTCGGAGTCAGTATACTGTGTGTGAGAGGGGTATTCACGTTAAACTACCGCATGGAATTTCCGTGTGCTAGCACTATAAAATCGGCATCAGTCCGGACTAGTTCAAGCAGCCACACATAAACACACATGCATGCACGTCGCTGTAAAGGTGCAATAATCTCGGACGTGACGTTAAACCCCATTTCACCTCACCTCACCATAATTAACGATACAGGTCCAAAACATATTTTGACAATACAGGAGAATAATGGAATCAAGTCTGGGATCCACACAAAGGAACTGCGAAGCATTGAAGGGAAATGGCGCGTCAGACAGCTGTCAAAGTTAGTTGTGGGCAACGCTGCTGATAACAGTATTCCAGTTATATCACGGCGTGTCAGCTTAGTGTGGAAAGGTGGAAGTGACGCGCGCAGGTCTCAGACGTTTAACACTTCGGTGAAACCCACGAACACGGGTATGGTGTTAACAAAGCGAGAGACATAATCTGGGCGAACAGGGAATCGAGCCCACAATCATAGGTTCCTGGCGTGTCTAGGGGACGCAACTGGACGGGTTCACACACATTTGCAAATGTCAACAAGATGTGTCTGTTTCGGCTTTCGTCCTGCGCTACGAGGAAAATCACTAAAATATCCAAGCTATCAACTGATATCGCATACACTAGTGTTCCTGAAGACAGACGAACCTGCAAACCCTTTAATTAAACTGAACTTGGAGCCTTATTGCTGTCTTGGGGGCAACCGCCTAGGTCGGAATTAACTGTCAGAGTGACGTCCCTTAGCCGTACCAGAATCCTGTTATCGGATTGGTTGGTGACGATTCGCCTTGATTAAGATATTTGGTTTTTACACACCGCTCCGGCTCCGAGCTACAACATGTAGTATACCTCCTTCGACATTAGTTAGTGAGTATGTTTTTACGCCGCTTTTAGCAATATTCCAACGTTATCCAAGCGGGGCACGCCAGAAATAGGTTCACACAACATGCCCATGTCGGGAATCGAACCCAGATCTTCGGCGTGACGAGCAAACGCTTTATAACCACAAGGCTACTCGACCGCTTCCCTAAGCCGACATATTGTGATACAACTGATATACTGATAGAACCAGAATTTGAAACCACTTCCACCATGACCTTAGAATATACACGATCCCGATGGGTGAATCAGGGTTTAGAAAGCAAAAATACGACCTCTGATTGAAACGACAAGCGCTTAGGTGCACGCCCGTTCATAATTCAATTGAGCGCGGTTTCATTTACAGGTGAGTGAGTTGGGTTTTACGCCGCTTGGAACTGTATTCCAGTTACATCTCGGCGTGTCAGCTTAATGTGGGAAGAAAGCCCGAAGTGATGCGGGTCTCAGATGTTAACCGAAGACCCGTGAAGATCCGGGGTAGAATAGGTCTTCAGCAACCCATGCTTGCCGTAAAAGGCGACTACGCTTGTCGAAAGAGGCAACTAACAGGATCCGGTGGCCAGGCTCGATGACTTGTTTGATGCATGTCATCGTATCCCAATTGAGTGGATCGATGTGCATGATGCCAATCACTGGATTGTCAGGTCCAGACAGGACCGCAGTGATATAGCTGTTATATTAACCAACAAATAAACAAACACTTTGTCGAAACCCACGAGCACGGGTATGGTGCTGACAAACATAGAAACAAAGTCGAGGCGAACCGGGGGTGTTATTAACAGGTAACACAGATAACCTAACACTATGCTTATTTCTTCACTTTGTTTTTTAGTTCGCGCATCAATTTGCGGAGTAAAAGTGTTGTTGGGATCACGACAGTGGCTGCTTCTTGCCTGTCCCCCTTACCTTTATTCAGAATGGCTGTAACGGTAGTTGAAACGTGGGGCTTTTGTGAAACTGAAACCAAAATAAAACCGTTAATAAATACAAGGTGTTAGTGAGTGAGTTTGGATTAACGCCGCTTTTAACATTATTCCAGTTATATCACGGCGTGTCAGCTTAATGTGGGAGGAAAGCCCGAAGTGATGCAGGTCTCAGACGTTTACCACTTCGGTGAAACCCACGAGCACGGGTATGGTGCTGACAAACTTAGAAACATTATCGGGACGAACCGGGATTCGAACCCACAATCATAGGTTTCTGGCATGCCCAAGGGACGCAACTCTGCACAGCGGCGTAGACTGGGCAACCCGTGCCCCCTAATAATTATGTGTAATGTGTATGTAAGGATCACAGTTTAAACGCCACGTGTAGACCCACATTCGAACAGCTCCCCATCACTCTCATGCTTGTCACAAGACGCCACGACATTGAGTAGATGAGTTGAGGTAAAACGTGGTTAACGTCGGTTTTATTGTGCCAGCCCACTGTGATATCATGTCTCAGTTTAACACGGATACCGATCCCACCCATCTTCCCGAGGCAAGGGAGTTAACTGACTATAAAAGTCCAGTTTCCACCCTTGCCGAACTAGGCGGGAATTCCTGGGCTCGACCGTAGCGCAACCCGAGTGGTCATTACGAGTTATGTTCCTTCTAAGCCTCTCCTATGGACCAATCAGATTCCACCTCTCGTATCACTTGCATTTGTTTCGAACAAAATGGTAGCGCCCAGTCAAAACGATCAGAATGATAATCAAGATCTATATTGTGATAAAACGAGTCTTACATCGCGAAGTGCATCAAATCACGTGAGCACCTTGATTAAAAACATGAAAAGACTTGGAAAATATCTGTTGACAACGAGTTGGCGGTTTACATGCTTTGCAAAACCTGCAATCGACAGAAATCTGATTTACAAACCGGATTTCGATTTTGGTGCCCGATTTTGATTGGACTATGCATAGACTCGTTAGCCCAGCCAAAATGTAACTCCATAATACCAGCCTAGTTCGGCAGGGGTGGTAACTGGACTTTTATAGTCAGTAAACTCTCTTGCCTCGGGAAGATGGATCCCACCAGTCCTCAATCCGAGCTCCAGGCAGGATAGCAAAAGTTGGTTGGTTGGTTTGTTGTTTTACCCCTCACTCAGCAATATTCCAGCTATATGACGGCGGTCTGTAAATAATCGAGTCTGGACCAGACAATCCAGTGATTAATATCATGATCATCGATCCACGCAATTGGGATTGATGACATGCATCAACCAAATCAGCGAGCCTGACTACCCGATCCCGTTAGTCGCCTCTTACGACAAGCATAGTCACCTTTTACGGCAAGTATGGGTTGCTGAAGACCTATTCTACCCCGGAATCTTCACGGGTCGGATAGCAAAAGTACTATCTCTTAACGTCTGTTGGTATGACGCGACCGCTGGTCGAACCACCGACCTTCCGCTCTCCAGCTGACGCTCTATCCACTAGGCCACGGATGCGGTCTAAATTGAATAGGAATGCCATGGCTCCTTGAAGGCGGGCGATGTTGTTCATAAGATCAACCACAGGTTTGTCTGCCCAAGACTCGATAATTTACATGCGGCCGTGATATACCTTTATTTCATATATACTGCGGCAGAAAACAATATAAATGAACACACATGACTTGATTAATACACAGCTCATCAAAACAAATTCAAGTACGTGACATTTTCCAGGGGTACAGTTAACACCCGCACGCGTGACATCATGTACAGCGATGTCTATTCCCCTTGCTGATTTCACCTCACATCACATCTCCATAGTTACGTACCGGCATCACTGATATCCTGGATCATCTTACTAAACACTGAAACGGAAATAAATTGACCATAACACAATTATAGCTGTTGTAAGTGTTCGAAGAGCAGTCATTACCATCGCCAGATATGTTTGTGATAGCAGTTGTACATTTCATGTAATTAAAGAATCAATTTGATTCCGAAATTATTATAAAAGTGGAAAGTATATATATAAGAATACATCAATCAGGAATATTGTGTATATCAATCAGGGATATTGTGTATATCAATCAGGGATATTGTGTATATCAATCAGGGATATTGTGTATATCAATCAGGGATATTGTGTGTATCAATCAGGGATATTGTGTATCACAATCAGGAATATTGTGTATATCAATCAGGGATATTGAAGGTGCATAACAATCAGGGATATTGGGTATGTCAATCAGGGATATTGTGTATATCAATCAGGGATATTGTGTATATCAATCAGGGATATTGTGTATATCAATCAGGGTTAATTGTGTATATCAATCAGGGATATTGTGTATATCAATCAGGGGTAATTGTGAATATCAATCAGGGATATTGTGTATATCAATCAGGGGGTAATTATGTTTATCAATCAGGGATATTGTGTATATCAATCAGGGATATTGTGTATATCAATCAGGGATATTGTATATATCAATCAGGGATATTGTGTATATCAATCAGGGATATTGTGTATATCAATCAGGGATATTGTGTATATCAATCAGGGATATTGTATATATCAATCAGGGTAATTATGCATATCAATCAGGGGTAATTGTGTTTATCAATCAATACCATGCCGCAGTTTAACATACCGCACTCAGACACAGTATACTGACTCCAAGTCGACCAGTCTTTGTTTTAGCCCCTTAATGCCGAGGACCACCTCCGGTAGAGTGTTAGAGCGTCCGCCCGGAGAGCGGAAGGTCCGGGGTTCGATCCCCGGCCGCGTCATACCAAAAGACGTTAAAAGATGGTACTTGTTGTTACCCTGTCTGGCGCTCGGCATAAAGGGGCTAAAACAAGGACTGGTCGGCTCGGAGTCAGTATACTGTGTCTGAGTGGGGTATTCATGTTAAACTGCGGCATGGTATCTCAGTGAGCTAGCACTATAAATCGGCATCAGTCCGGACTAGTACAAGCAGCCACACACACACACACTCACACACCCACACACACACAAGTACATGCACGTCGCTATATAAGTGCAATAATCTTGGACGCGACGTTAAACCCCATTTCACCTCACCTCACCTTAATGCCGAGCTCCAGGCAGGGTAAAATCAAGTACCGCTTTTAGTGTCTTTTGGTATGACGCGGCCGGGGATCAAACCCCTCACCTTCCGCTCTCCTGGTTGACGCTCTACCGCTAGACCAGAGGCGGTCCATTTTTCTTAATCATCAACTTTCGAAAACAAAGGATTTCTCTTATAAGTGACACTCTAACCTTGAAATATAGAGGGGACACTGTCGTCAGTTTCATGGGTAGTCAGACTTTCTGAAACAGGCAAAGAAAGAACTTGAGGTGAACAATGATTCTGACATTCGACGCTTATCCGGCACGCTGTGGGGCCTAGTTGATGCCGAGAACGAGACCTGTGAATTTCGTGGGAATCTTTAATTTGAAGGAGATAACTACAGATGAAAGGGATTGATCAGAGGCTGAGGCCCGCTTATGACCTGACCATGACCGACCATAATCCGTGTATGACCCGACTATGACCTGACCATGTCCTGACCATCCCCAGACCATGACCGGCCATAATCCGTGTATGAACCGTGTATGACCCGACTATGACCTGACCATGCCCTGACCATGACCGACCATAACCTGTGTATGACCTGACCATGCCCTGACCATGCCCTGACCATCCCCAGACCATGACCGGCCATAATCCGTGTATGACCGGACGATGACCTGACCATGCCCTGACGATGCCCGGAAACAAGCCGAGTTTGACGTAACAATGACATGACCATGACTTGACTTTGACATGAATGACCTGATTGTGAGTGTTCTTCTGTTGCACAACGCCCCAAAATTCCAGCTGTATGACGGCGCTCTGAAAGAAATCGAATCTGCCAGCACCCAAGTCACCACACCTGACCAACCGATCCACTGGGTCGCCTCTTACGACCAGCATAGTTTACTTGGGACCTGGGCCCACTTGCACAAAGCGATCTTAGCGCTAAGACTATTGTAAGCCTAGTATGTTAAAGTAAGGGCGTTACGATCTTAGCGCTAAGATCGCATTGTGCAAGTGGGACCTGGTCCTATCTGGTATCCTCATTGATCGGATTTGTCTGTTACCTGTCTAAGAGTATGCACAGCTCCTTCCATATTGTCAGCGTTCTCTGCATAGCGATATTCCAGCAATATCACGGCGGGGGTCACCAGAAATGGTCTTCACACATTCTACCAATATGGGCAATGGAAACCGTGTGTTCAGTGTGACAAGCGAACTCTTTAACCACTAGGCTACGTCTTATCTTCCCGAGTCAAGGGAGTTAACGGACTGTAAAGTTCCAGTTTTCACCCTTGCCGAGCTAAGATGGAATTCCTGTGTTACATTGTGGCTGCATAGTCCAATCAAAATCGAGCAACGAACTAGACATCTGGTTGTAAACAACATGGATTTCATGTTGCTTGTAAAAACAATGTATAGTTCAATCGGTCGAAAAGCCAGCTATGTCAATGGTGTCGGCGACCCGTGAAGATCCGGGGTAGAATAGGTCTTCAGCAACCCATGCTTGCCGTAAAAGGTGACCATGCTTGTGGTAAGAGGCGTCTAACGGGATCGGTTGGTCAGGCTCTCTGACTTGGTTGAGGCATGTTATCGTATCCACATTGTGTAGATCGATGCTCATAATGTCAATCACTGGATTGTCTGGACTTACAGACCGCCCTCATATAGGTGGAATATTGCTGAGTGCGGCGTTACACAACAAACAAACAACAACCAATGGTGTCGGTGTTGTAGGAGCACAGAACGTGGGGCCAGTTTCACCAGTAACACACGACCGACTTGGGTGTGTAACCTCTTGGCGTTATCTCGTCATCTGCTGTGTACACCACACATAGCCACTCAACAACACAAACGTGAGTTTTAAGAACAACTAAAAAAATATACTCAATTCCGAAAGAAACGCTCACCCACACGTGTGAAATGTGTGAAAACGAAAAGGTAATATATTACAATTCATACTTTAAGATGTGCGTTTACTTTGGAGCTGAGCATATATATATATAAATTCATTTGTCACTTCTCGGCAGTATGTTATGAATTAGTGTCAACATACCCCGAGTGAGCACGGGTATGCAAAGCATCTGAGGCGATGCAATTCGCTGTTGTGTCCTTAAACGTGCCAGAAAGCTATGAGCATGAGTTCGAATGCGGTCAGCCCTGATTTATTTCTAATTTTGTCAGGATCCATACCAATGTGCTTCATAAACACATTAGACCTGCATCCTCCTGTCCCTAACTGACAAGACATGATGTAACAGAAATGATGTTATAAGCGGCGTTGAGCTCAAAATACCCTGGAACAAATGTTTACCTTAACAGAGACAAGAAGCCTGCAACATACCTGTCGTGCCCATCACCGCCACCGCCATCATCAGCAACAGCCACGCGCATCCCCACAACGTGCACCCCCACCACGTGCACCCCTGCCCCGCCCCCTGGTTGGTATTCTGTTTGTTCATCATGTCCCTCTGGTATGACGGCGGGGTAGGACGACAACAGACTCAAGGTTGGCGCCACCTGGAGGTTCCCAGGCGGGATGGTCGTGGGAGAGGTTGTCGCAGTGTCGTGATAACGCCGGCGTGAGGGTTTGTCAAGATTAGCTCATTACTGTTGTTAAAATGGACGAATATTTGTCGCCGATAATATTTACAACCAAGGCACCGTGGAGATTCCGGGTAGAGTAGGTCCCCAGCAATCTTATCTAGCCGTCAGAGGTGACCAAATGGATCGGGTGGTCATGCTCAATGATTTGTTGACAGTGTATGGTACCCGGCTGCGTGGATCTTTGGTCATACTATCGATCACCGTATTGTCTGGCCCAGCTGTCATACATGCACCGTCATGAAGATGGAATGCAGCGATAAACAACAAACAAACAAATAGCATTCAATATAAACCCAGAGTACGTCTATCTATCCAGTGATAATAATTTGTATGAGAAAGTGTAATGCTAGCTCACGTCTGTAATCTGGGTCACTACTGCAGTACGGTAGTCGATGTCTTACTTATCTTGGTGTTAGTGAGTTTGGTTAACTTTGTTTTGAACAGAATACGGGTTCTGTCAAGGAGTAGACGCTTTCTGTTGAGCACAGGAGGTTGTAGAATAAAGTGCCTTTGGTAAATCATCGAGGACATGGCGTTAACGAATGAAAGAAGAGTTTCTGGGAAACTTGAGGATTCGACACCACGATGTCACACATGCTTACGATTGAACGAATAGGATGTTACACAGATCATAACAATTCTGTGGCAAGTGTACGAGGTTAGATGAAATGGAGAGAGGAAGAGAGAGTATTGGGTTAGGTTAAATAGGGAGAGGGCAGAGAGAGTATGATGTGAGGTTAAATGGAGAGATAACAATATCATTTTATACAGTTTTAAAACACGGGCTATAGGCCACCACAACCAAAGCTTAGCCACCTCGCTGTGGATCATGGGGACTTACAGTACCTCTGCTTCCTGCATGATACCCCAGCAGGATTTACGTCATCACTTTAGCCACTGGTGGTTGTGCACAATGCTAGGCAATATTAAAAATACTCAGCAATGAGTTGGCTTAAAAACACTGGTTGATGATAGTTACATCGATTATGATAGGACCACGTGTCACACAGGGGGCCAATAATTTTACGATACTTTAGCCTCCTGGACAGAGCCTTCAATAATGTCAGTTGGTAAAATCATCACACCAAACATACAAACAAGCATTTAATTAGTCACATACATATTTAAAATGTATTATACAGAACAAATTCTTTCAAATAAGTTAAGATGAGATGCCCACTGACACGGGAAAAGAGATTTTTTCGATTTACGCTTTGATAATGTGAATCCCTTGCTTTTGCAAAGTCCATACAATCAATCAAAATATGCTTGACGGTGAACCTGTCACCACAAGGGATACACTTAGGAGGTTCGTCCTCATCTGTCTTAAGCAGATATTCGTGGGTAAACCGACTGTGGCCAATACGACATCACCGTAAAACGACCTCGTCATGTCTTGACTGACAACCCAAGTAGGTATAATCGATTGATGGTTTTAATTCGTGAAGTGTATTGCTTCCTACCTGGGTGTCCCACCTCTTTTGCATGAGATCCCGAGTAAGACTCTTGATGGTTGGTTTGAAATCACGGAACGGGATCAGTAGTGGAGATAACGGTTTGTCAAGAGCTGCTTTAGCTGCAGCATCAGCTTTTGAGTTACCTGTTATGCCTACATGACTTCGTAACCAGCAAAAGACGATGTCACATTGGCCAGTAGAAAGATCATTATATAGTTCTAAATTCTCTTGGATAATAGGGTGATATGGTGAGACACTTTTAAGTGTCTGAAGGCAAGACAACGAATCAGAGAAGATAATGACATTTTTAGAATGGTTTTGATGTTTGTTATAGGACAGCTTTGGCCTCATCAGTAAAAATTGAACTATTATTTAGGAATCTTGAGGAGACAGTTCTGGATCCAGTGATGGTGACGCTTGCAACTTTGTCACCATCCTTGGACCCGTATGTAAAAATGGATCTTTGAGAATTATATTTGTATCGTAATTGGTTCTATGATTGTTGATATGCCAAAGGATTAGTTTCTGACTTTTTTAGCTGAGTTAGAGTAAGGTCTACCTCTGGTTTCACCATCTGCCAGGGGGGAGAAGACGGTTAGGTGATCTAACATTTAGATCTATTTTAGCTGCAGTGATGTGTGGCTGAATTCTGATTCCAAGTGGTGGCATCATGTTGGACAGATTTTGAAACAGGTTTTCATATTGAGGGTGGAAAACACAATTGTATGCTGGATTGGATTTGCAATGTAGTGATGTATTGCAGTGAAAGTTTAATGCGGCGCTGTTCGAGTGAAGGTTCATCAGCCTCCACAAACAAACTGTCCACGGGAGAGGTCCTAAAAGCTCCAAGAGGACAGTCTTAGTACTTGTTGGTGTATTGCATCTTATTTTTCTAAACTGCTTTTACAAGCTCCACCATAGACAATGGATCCAGAGCCTAGTTTGGTGCGTATTAACGATCTGTACAAGTGAAGGAGGGTTGTCTGATCCCCACACCACTTTGAGAATCTGAAGCCGTTTTCGTTAGCCCATTTTTGAATTTTGTTCAGACAGATCTGTAGCTGTCTTTCTATTGTATCCATATTCTTACCACGAAAAGAAATGTTGAAATCCACCACAAAACGTGAACCATCATCGCTATTGTTTAAAATTTCAGTGAGACTATTAACTTTGATCTGAAAAGTGTGACTTGATGGTATGCTGCCTTGAGGGACGCCCTGATTTTGGTCGAAATGATCAGACAGGGTAGAGCCAACCCTTACTTGAAATTGTCTTTTGTTTAAACATTGAGATATGAACTGAGGTAATCTGCCCCTCAATCCAAATTCATACAAATCTTTTGAAATACAATGTTTCAACGCTGTATCATATGCCTTCTCTGGGTCAAAAAGGATTGATACAGTGTGTTGTTTATTGACAGTAGCATTTTTAATAAATGATTCTAAACGCACCAAATGACCAATAGTACTTCTATTTTTTCGGAAACTACACTGGATGTCACTCAGAAGGTCATTGGTCTCCAAGTATCAGACTAATCGATTTTTGACACAGACGAAGGTGTCACAGCTGTTATTTGTAAGGAAGCGGTAGGCAGTGGTGACAGACTTGACCATGTCCGATCAGTCTGGCAGTCGATAGAGACAGTGGTGACAGACTTGACCATGTCCGATCAGTCTGGCAGTCGATGGAGGCAGTGGTGACAGACTTGACCATGTCCGATCAGTCTGGCAGTCGATGGAGGCAGTGGTGACAGACTTGACCATGTCCGATCAATCTGGCAGTCGATAGAGGCAGTGGTGACAGACTTGACCATGTCCGATCAGTCTGGCAGTCGATGGAGGCAGTGGTGACAGACTTGACCATGTCCGATCAATCTGGCAGTCGATAGAGGCAGTGATGACAGACTTGACCATGTCCGATCAATCTGGCAGTCGATAGAGGCAGTGGTGACAGACTTGACCATGTCCGATCAATCTGGCAGTCGATAGAGGCAGTGGTGACAGACTTGACCATGTCCGATCAATCTGGCAGTCGATAGAGGCAGTGGTGACAGACTTGACCATGTCCGATCAGTCTGGCAGCCGATGGAGGCAGTGGTGACAGACTTGACCATGTCCGATCAGTCTGGCAGTCGATGGAGGCAGTGATGACAGACTTGACCATGTCAGATCAATCTGGCAGTCGATGGAGGCAGTTGTGACAGACTTGACCATGTCAGATCAATCTGGCAGTCGATAGAGGCAGTTGTGACAGACTTGACCATGTCCGATCAGTCTGGCAGTCGATGGAGGCAGTGGTGACAGACTTGACCATGTCCGATCAGTCTGGCAGTCGATAGAGGCAGTGGTGACAGACTTGACCATGTCCGATCAATCTGGCAGTCGATAGAGGCAGTGGTGACAGACTTGACCATGTCCGATCAATCTGGCAGTCGATAGAGGCAGTGGTGACAGACTTGACCATGTCCGATCAGTCTGGCAGTCGATGGAGGCAGTGGTGACAGACTTGACCATGTCCGATCAGTCTGGCAGTCGATGGAGGCAGTGATGACAGACTTGACCATGTCAGATCAATCTGGCAGTCGATGGAGGCAGTTGTGACAGACTTGACCATGTCCGATCAATCTGGCAGTCGATAGAGGCAGTTGTGACAGACTTGACCATGTCCGATCAGTCTGGCAGTCGATGGAGGCAGTGGTGACAGACTTGACCATGTCAGATCAATCTGGCAGTCGATGGAGGCAGTGATGACAGACTTGACCATGTCCGATCAGTCTGGCAGTCGATAGAGGCAGTGATGACAGACTTGACCATGTCCGATCAGTCTGGCAGTCGATAGAGGCAGTGGTGACAGGAAGACATGAGACTGCTGCAGAGTAAGAAATGGTAGAGGTGGTTGCAGAAGTACCAACAACACTGTTTTGCGTCATGGTAGGAGAGATTGCGATTCGCGTTTCCACGCAGGGCAGGAGGCAATATGGTTCCCACCGCAGTTTGAACACTTCACATCCTTCCTGCAGTCAGTGGTCTCGTGCGTGTCACCGAAGCCGTAACAAACAGTAGAGGCATGACAGGACTTGGATCCATGTCCAAACGTTTGGCAGGTGTAGCACCGGAGTGGATTCGGGATATACACCTCCACTCCGATGCTACAATAACTGGTTTTGATCGATTGTGGAATTTTCGAACGGGCGAAAGTGAAGAGACAGGTGTTGGTCTCTATAACCATACCATCCTTTTTGACAGTAAATCGTTTGACAGCTGTGACAGACTGTTGGGCAAGTTCTTTGACGATTTCATCCTCGGTCATGCCAGACAGGCATCGAGCGCAGTGGCGGACAAATCCCTTGCATGAGTTCAGTGTCCTGTGTTCAGTGAGTGAGTGAGTTGTGTTTAACGCCGCATTTAACGGTATTCCAGTTATATCACGGCGTGT